GGGCGGAGACCTCACAGACTGGGACATTACTCGAGGTGAATCGCAAGCTGGACAATGTCTTAGCTGCGTTACCGGTGTTAGTGCGCAAAATGGATGTCATCTCGGAGAGGGTCACCGGACGGTGTGGAGATGTTTAATCACAAAATTGCTTCACTGGAGGACTTGAATGATCAATACAGACTTTAAGGCAGGGAGGAAAATTATCTCTGCCTGACCCAAACAAAGTCCTGTTATCCAATCTGACGCCATAGCAGCCTTGGAGTTGCGTGCAACAACCCCCACGATGGAAGGAATGCAGACAGGAATGCAGGAATGCTGTGAAAACCCTACCTGCCCCCACCCCCCACCCCCCCCCCACACACACACACACACACACACACACCGCCTTCAGATTGTGGTCTCTGCAGCGAGGTCATCAAAATGGAGGCATTCAATGTGCTCTGTGCTTTCCCATGACCTCCCACCCACCTGTGGATTCAGTTGGCCGAGCGCCACACGGGCTGCTCCCGCTGAGGAAACCAGGATCCCAGCCCACCCCCCTCCCTACCGGGTCTCATGTTGTGAACTGTGATGTTTGTGCTTACATGTTGAGGTGTTTTTTTGCATAGCAGAGCTACATCCTGCTGGGTGTAACTCTGCTCGACCTTTTTTTCCCTCCCCCAATTCTCCTCATGTAATCCCCTCTTCATCTATTATCTAACGGTAGCGCGACTCTTGTTGCGAATGACCACAGTACCAATTCTTCTGTACTGAAACAATTGCCCCTCGGGGATGATTAAAGTTTTTTGATTGATTGATTGATTGATATCTTGCTATTGACAGCATGCGCAGGTCAGAGTGCTGAAGCTCGGAGCGCATCATTATTATGAAGCTAGGGCACATGCGGAGGACACACACACACACACACACACACAAGCAAAATATACTTGTTTTCAATTACATTTATTGTGCCCACTTACTTTTTCTTAGGCCCACCCACAAATGAGTTTCTACGCTAATGGTGACATATGACAGACTTCTCTGAGCTCCGCAGCCATTTCACTTATCACCTCGCGCACCCCCTAGCGGCAGCTCGCGCACCCCCTAGCGACAGCTCGCGCACCCCCTAGCGGCAGCTCGCGCACCCCCTAGCGGCAGCTCGCGCACCCCCTAGGGACAGCTCGCGCACCCCCTAGCGGCAGCTCGCGCACCACACTTAGGGAATCCCTGCGTTAAACTATTCTCATTCAAATGCCAGCTGTTTAACATTTCAAATTTCGAGTTTTTAATCAATGTTCAAAGATTAAAGTTTTTTGCTGTTTAGCATTTTTTGTCCATTCTTCACCTATTTTCTGGGCTTTATTACACTTGTTGGGGATTTTTGCTTCTAAATCTTTAAATACATTCAGCTCATTTTGACAGTTTAGCTTAGATTCAGCTTCACTTCAGCTATTCAGCAGCTTCCAAGTGGTGCTCGCTGCAGAACCACAAAGGCGGAGCTGCACCAGAAGGTGGAGCTGCACCAGAATCAGCCCCGCCCATTCCAGAATCAGCCCCGCCCGTTCCATCAGAGTCAGTCCAATTCCTTCCAGTTGTCAGACTTGATAGCATTCTGGAACCAAAGAGGGTGTTATAGCTAAAAAATGCAAGATTGAGGACGGAGTTGAGAAGTGAATTGAACAGTTTTTGTGAAGGTTCCATATAATTAAAAATCTACCTTTTGGAACTTTTAATCGTGTTATATTGTTGTTTCCTCATAAGAAACATGCCAAAGCCATTTTTGGCCTCATTCATGTGTTTTCCTCCCATCTCAGCTTCAATTTGGTCTCCTCCCCCGAAGCGGGTCTGGTCTTGGTTCTCAAATCTGGATATTCTGTGAATTTTCTGACAAATTATTTCTGAAATGACTTCTACTGAGACACCGCCGGAAAAATCATACATCCCATCTACAAAGACACACTAGATAGCCCAATTACATGTAACGCCGCCTAATTTTTATCAGAAGTAGTGGTGTAGTGGTTATGGAGTCAGGTTAACATGCAGTTTTGCACAGGTTCGCCTCCCAGTAGCGGAAGGATTAGGTAGTTTACAACCCATTTTCTTAATTTCTAGCTACACTTGCCAGTACTATGTTTACAACAATTTACTGGTATACTGTTTAACATATAATGACTAATGTGTTTTTTTATTTATTTGTTTGTTTATTTAGCCAGTGTGAGTCCATTTGTGAGCAGAGTTTCAACTAAAATGCTGTTTAGGAACGACCAAATTCAAATAACTTGTAGAGACGTAAATATTTTGCTGAAAATAAACATTACAACTAAAATATAAACAAATTAAATGTTTCAGCTGGATAAATAGATTGTTGCCGACCCCACCGAGAATCGAACCAACATCAGCTGAGGGGAAAGGGAAATTTAAGTCAGATGATCTTGCCACTCGACTACTAGAACCCATTCGATAGTTTTACATGCTGTTATACGGCACCTTTGTTGGAGCGGCTGTGGGCAGATATTTGCTAAAAGAAATCTTTTCATTTTGAGATATATTCAGGCTTCGTCATGTAGCAAGTTATATTTATCTTGTTTAATTGGAGCATAGAACAAAGCATTAACGACTGTAAACTAGTAACAGACGTAATTCATGTGGGTCAGGTTAGTTTGCGATAAAGTTAAAAAACAAAAACGGAAGTCAGTGGGCTAGGCTGAGTTTGCGTGAATGGGCGGGGCTGACTCTGGTGCAGCTCCGCCTTATGGTGCAGCTCCGCCTTTGTGGTTCTGCAGCGAGCACCCTCTCGCAGCTTCAGCAATCCGTTTCTGAATTCAGCATATGCTGCTAATTTCACAGTTCAGCTAAATGTAAATATTAAACTGTTAAAACTTGTCCTACTGAAATAACAGGTGTTCAGACATTTTAGCTGTCCAGCTTTTTGTACTATGTTCATAGATTTCAGTTTTGTGCTATTTAGGATTATTTTTTCTCCATTCTTCACTTACTTTTTGTGTTTTATTTGCTTGTTGGTTATTTTTGCTTCTACATCTTTCTACACATTCAGCTCATTTTGACAGCTTTGCTTACTTTCAGCTTCAGTTCAGCTATTAAGCTGATTCAGCTAACAGTTTAAGCTATCCAGCATTCAAACAGCATTTCTGCAAGAAATGCAATTATCTAGTTATACAGAATTTTAGGCTTTTAATACACTTAAACAGAGGAGTGAGAAAAAAATTCACACCCCTCGGAGTTGTCATGAGTGTAAACTAGATCAATTAAACCAAAACATGTTTTGGTACCAAGCTGTAAACATGTTTATTTCTGCTGTGAAATTGGTATTTTTAACACTGGAGTCAATGAGGATTTGCTCGCTTCTGACACCAGCCCCTAGTGGATGAGGGTGGAACTGCAATTTATTTCACTTCTGCATTGGCCTCAATTTCAGACCTGCATTGTGGGGGCTTAACACACACACACATGCACGCACGCACACACGCCATTTATTCTCTAGTAACTAACATAAATGCAACTCCTGTTAATTAAATTGCGAACCAAAGAACTCGTGGCCTGCATGCAATTAAGATGTCAGAGTATAAGACTGTAAAACCAATCATAAAGCTGCACTGAAACCCAGCTGAGGGGTGTAGCCACACATGTGACCTGTAGGGATGGAGGAACAGAGTTTTCAGTGAAATACTGACTATCCTTTTGTTGATAAAAATGAAAGGGTTATGCTAGTTTAATGACCTAGAAAATAACCAAAGTTTAAAATAAAAATGTTCAAGTGAAAAGTAAAAAATGTGTAAATATAAACATCCATAAATGATTTACACAAGATGTAAGTAAATCCCATCCTTCTGGAAGGAGACAGACGCAAAGAAACACCCTGAACTTTCATGTAAACTAGGCGCAATGCGATCCCCCATCTGGCTCGCACTTCGTTTAACAACAAAGCCGAAGCCTACGCGTTTCTATGCAGAAGGGGGTGGGGATGGCTGAGTGATGGAGGCTGTTGATGTGTGATGTTGACCTCACCATTTTCTTTAAAATGCTCATCAATCGCTCTACATATCAAACAGTCTCTATGAACCAAGGCTCGTATGAGATTTCCCTGTAAAGTCAGGATTATTTCTAGTTAACTAAAGAGTAAGTCAGATGATAAAGTTAGAAAATATGCACTCACTGTGTAATAAATTAACTTGACTCTGACATGAATGTGAGAGTGTGTAGATGACTAACTCTGTAACTAAAAGTGGTCAATTTACACCGTAAAATAAGGTTCAAACCATCGTTTCTGGAAACAAAATGCGACTTCAGCGAGCAAACAATGCCTGAACAGCATCTGTGTCCCTATGGCTACCCCAAGCCAGATGGCCTGCAAGACAATAAACTCAAACCACACACCGTGAACTTAACTTTATCTGTCATGAAAAAGGAGTCGGAAACATTGCTGCAAAACGCAATTTAGTACGCTGCTTTTTGCATGAAATATGCATTATTTATGGTCACTTAAACAGTTTAAATATGACTATCACGTGAGTGTTGTACAGAATGTGGCCACTTTTCCAAGTAGGTTTTTGGCAAGAATTTTAAATTGATCGACCTAAAATCAAAAGCTCTTCATTAAAAACCAGTTCTGATCAAATGAAAACAAACCAGTGGCACATGGTAGACCAGGAAAGTTACTCAGGAACTACTGAGCATCACTTCATACAGCAACATGAGCGTGAAAACGAAAACGGAACCGTTAGTTTATGTTATATAAGCCTTATACAACGTAAGCCTGATAAGATATATTTTAACTTTAAGGAACTACTTACAATTAGCGCTTAATGCTAGCTTTTAGCTTTGCTGACGAGCTCGTTTGCCGTTACCTAACAGGATTGCCTCGGTAACGTCTGAGAAGTTCAGAAAAAACGGCTAAGCTGGTTAACCAAAACGACTGCGCTCAAATGCTGACACAAACAACTCTTCAATTCCGCAGTGAAAGCGACTCAAGTCGCCACACACAAAAGTAAACAAGTATTTACCTCTATTTCAAAGTCTGGAAGCTTGAACGCCGTCCTGAACAGCGAGCAGAAATGGGCTATGGCGGGGACTTCCCACCAAGACTGGATCTCTTCCACAGAAACTGTACATCCCTGGGACATTTTCGGACCAGTAAAAGTGTATAACGTTTCTTCCTCACATTAGAAAGTAATTTTTTCAGCGACTTTAGAGTATTCCGGAACATTACAAATGAAAAAAAAGTTGCTATGCTTCTCCTGTTCGGCTAGTTGCCATTGCGACCCGGGGAGCGTCACCATCGGTTTCAATCAGTGTCTCACCCATAGGTCTCACCAGAGCCTAACAGATGGGGAAGGACGATACCATTACGTAATAAATAGAGGGGGGTAAATAAAAATAAATTAGTAAATTGAATTCCATTTTCGGATTTAACTTAACAAAATCATTTTAAAATGTGTTATATTTTAAGAAATATTCATAATAAAACAAATATTTTTCAAGTAGTTTACTTTTGCCGTTGTGTTGCAGGGTAAAGCACAACAGTAACCCCCCAAGTTGACAATGAGCTCGCGGTTTAAATGGAAAGATAGTAAACACCGAGCCAACCGTAGAAGTCAGGTATGACCCAGGTGACTCGTCCTTCAGTTACCATTTCACAAACAACTGTTTCTGTGTGTGCGTTTATCTTGGTATATCACCGCTTGAGAGGCTGTACTTACTTTAATTATTTTCCATTTAATATGTTTTCAACTAAAAACCATTATTTTTACTGACTTTGAAAAAAAAACAGTAAAAATAAAAGGTCACTCAGAAATAACCTTCCCAAGTACAGTAATGTTTTGTAAACAATGCTGCAATGTGGTATACACTGCACAAGAGCTCCCCCTACAGCAATATTTGAAAAGTGCACCCAAAGTTGTCAGATATTTAGATATACTGTTCATCCAAATGAAATTAGATGTTGCTTTTCATTTACAAATAGCAGAGAGAAAGGGAACTTTTGGATGATAATATTAAACCTCATCGTCTCAGTGTACACTTTTACTTTCAAAAGAGGGGGTTATACAGAGTTTCAAAATTTATAGTCGTGTAGGAAAACAGTTTTTTTAGTGTTGACAGTAATCATCAAGTTTGAACACCATTATCAGCAAGTCTCAAATACTCAAAATTCATTTTATTTTACTTGACAACAAGAGCAGCATATCTGACTGCAGTGGCTTTTTTATTCAAACTAAACTAATCAACAGAATTGAATTATAATCTAAAGTAATACTTCCCCCTATCTGCTTGAAAGTGTGTCTATCCCTGTAAAATTAAAATAAGAGGAAGAGATGTTACTTTAATCTGCAGACATGTCCAAGATGCAGTCATTTGGCCTTTGTGTCCATTGTGCCATAGGTGGCAGCAGTTAACAAGTGGAGTCAGTCATGGCCTGCTTCCATGTTGTTAGTGCAGTGACGATTTAGATGAAGTATGAAAACAAAGATTTAGTGCCAAGATGGCTAAATTTTTTTTCTTTTTTCTTTTTTTTTACTGTTTGCCTACTAACCGATGTAAACCAAGCCTCTTGAAAGACACGCTAATTACTAAAGTACGCCTAAAGGAGAGAAGAAGCTTGACCTTTAAAATGAGGATGCAAAGGTAAAACCTTTGTGGACAAAAGTGGACGTGACCCAATCATTTCACATTTAAAGCAATTCCAAAAATAATTCAATTGTTTTTCTTGAATTACACAGTGCTAATCTAGTAGCTTATAAGACGATCGGCAGCTGCAACAACATGATGCGGCCAAATACTGTTAGATGGAACACAATCTGCTGTTTTTCAGATTCTCTCTTTTGTTTGTTTTTCACCTCTCAGTACATCTTAGAACAGACTAAATAAGAAGACAGCAGACACGTCAACGATGTCCAAACAGAAACACAAACAGAGGTAGAGGCAGTGGCAGTTTTACCATTAGGCATAGGTCGGCGGCCGCCTGGGGCCCCCTTGTGTTGGGGGGCCCCTAGCCCTGACCGCCGGCACCCCTCTGTTAATGTCACAATGGACTATTCATTTAAGACGGCGAAGCACAAACAGGAAGCGATTGGTAGTCATTTCACTCCAATCCAGTTGGTGGCAGTAATGCACCAAATTGTTGTTTGCCAAGTGCCATAAGACCACAAATAATAAGAAGAAGAGAGGCAGGAGCGTTCGTAACAAACTCAAAGCGATAGTCAAAGCATGAAATGGAGTTATCCCAATGGCTCCAAAACGAGAAAGATGCAGCTTGCTTTAAAAAACTTTTATCTTCACTTCCAAAAGTGACGTCGTTTTTCATGTAAACATCCAAAGGAAGCAGAAAGGAAAGACAATGGAAAATGTTTAAAGAGAGGAAAACATGGACCAAAATGGAAAATAGAAGGAAAAAAACCAAAGGCTAAAGCACAGGAGCGCTGACAGGAAGAAAGCAGAGCAAATAACGAAGGCACTCAAAGAGAAAGACAGGAAAAAAAGTGGAGGAATAATAAAAAGGGAAAATAACTCACGGCAGAACAGAAGAGGGGAGAGTTTCGCAAATCCAGTTAAAGGTAAGATTGTCGGAAATTTAGTGTAAGGGGCCCCATGTCTGTGTTCACCTTGGGCCCCCAAATTGCTAAATCCGCCACTGGGTAGAGGGCATGACATTTGACCTGACACAGGGAAGAAGAAAGTACATGAATCGTAATAAATTGTCACAGTTGAGCCACAAAGTTGGATCACTCCAGTTTTCTATAGTTATCATTACAATAAACATTTAGTAATAAATTATAGTGTTCAAAAATATTTAAACTAAAATCCCAATTTAGATTTTTAGCTTTTGCTGGTGAAACATTCATTAGTAGCAACTTTTCCAGTAAAATAGCTCAGCACACAAATTGTTCCTTGTAAAAAAAAATTAATTTAAATATAATGACAGCTGTTCTGCTCCTCACATCTTCTTTTGTTTGCTCTTTTCACACACATTTCTTACAATGAAATACATGTCATAAACCAGTGATAACTACACTAGATGTCAGTGTTTGCATCAGCAGTGGACTAATCAAGATATTATGTAATACAAGAACCGCTACACAGGAAGCTCCTTAGGGACAGACCACCTTTTGTGTGCCTGTTTATGTTGTGTACACTCATTTGCAGATGAAACACACAATAATTGTAGATTTTCTTCGTTGTGTGTGCACTAAACCAGCAGCCCCACAGGGATGAGTGTGTGTGCAGTTGTTAGTGCAGAGCTGGGCTGTCAGAGTCACCATGAGAGGGAGGGACTTCGGCAGCAGGACAATGCTGGTGTTTGTGCAACGGCTACTGAGTGGCGGCTGGGCTTCTCAGACCGCTCTCGCTTGACTACCATTTCTGTGAGTATTGTTTTGGGGAAAGAAAAGTGGACAGCTTGATCCTGCATGTGGGACGCGCCAACAAAGGTAAGATCACTGCTTTCTTGCTGATGCATCTTTGTGATGAGTCCTTTAAAAAAGAAAGGGAAAAGCTGTTTCACGGGGCTTGTGCCAGTAAACTGGCTTTAGCACAGTTTCAGGGAAAGTTGGAGGTTCGCTTGGGTTGAGGCGCCCTTCTCTGTGCTTTGGCAGGGTCACTACTGTGTGTGTGAATGGAAGTGTCACAGAAAGAGGCTCAGAGAGAGGCATGTGTAGTATGTGACCAAAGTCCCGAGGGAAAAAAAGAATAATGCATCAAACGTGAAATACCCGAGGAGGCAGAGGACGACCGCCAGTGATGCAAAGCAGAAAACATGAATTTCATCCATCTCAAGCAAAGAGCAAAGTGAATGTTTTCAGCGGTAAAAATAGACAGAATGGAGGTGAAGAGATTAAGAGAAAGAGATTAATTAGAGAGGTGAGCAAGAAGAAACCCAGAATACGAAAAGGCAGAAGATGCACCAAAAGTTACTGGATAACAAGAAAAGTCAACAATTAAATTGTGTTTCACACATTTTTCACATTTAACAGAATTTTTGCACTTCACAAAAGAAAAAAGGCTAGAAAAGGTCACATGATGTGTGGCAAGTTATTTTTAAAGCTTATGTTTCAGAATGGATTCCAGTTGAGACACACCTGTTAATGCTCCTTTTGCCTTCTTAGTCGGTGGAAATCTCTTCCAGCTGACAGATCAGTGAGAATCAAAATGTTCTTTATTTGTATGTCAGTGCCTAGGCGTGCCATAGACATGTTAGAGTGAGTAGAAGTGGGTTTCGTAAAAACATACATCGTAAACGTGTCTGTCTGGGTTGATGCTGAAGAACCATTCAGTCCAAACTAGCTGCATGTGTTTTGTTTCCTCAGACCGTCGTGGGGAGAGCCATTTGGATGTGACGAGCAGCAAAGGACGCAGATCCAGATCAGTTCCTTTGGGCCGCTGCAGAAAACAAGCCTCCACCTCTGAGGTACGAGGCACAGGAAGGAGGTGGTCCTTCCTCACTTTAAAAGAAGCTGTAAACAGAGTTGTGGTGAGAGTGGGCAGAGCAAAACTGAGCTGCAGGGGTGATTTTGAACATTTAACAGGGAGGGAAAGAGGAAGAGGAGGGAGACGGGGAGGAGCAGAGGAGGACAGGAGTCGAAGGCCTGGACGAGGAGCCCTTAAACAGCCAAGATGGGAGAAAAGAGAGTTAGGTAAGTAGCCGTGTTTTATAGAAGGTTTGAATGAATGAAAGCATCAGCTGCACCAGTGATTTGCACTCTTTCTCTTGCAGTTTTTACATAAATGGGTGTGTTTGTGCGTTTGTGTGTGTTCCTGATCCCTTTGCAGTCTCCCTGCTAAGCTGATTAACGGGGGCGTGGCAGGCCTGGTTGGTGTGACATGTGTATTTCCTATTGACCTGGCAAAAACCCGCCTCCAGAACCAGCAGGGCATCCAAGTCTATAAAGGAATGTGAGTGGGGCTTCCCCGGCCAGCAGTAACCTGCCTCTGTCATTGATCTGTCTCATAAAAGTCTGGTTTGAAACGTTCTTTTCTTCTGCATGAAGCAATCAGGTGATTTGTTTAGTGGTGTTGAAGAAAACGCGACAGGGCGGAGTGTCTTCACCCTCTCTCTGGTTAACACTCACCAGTTTTTATACAAATATAAATGAGGGTTCACAGTAACACTCGTATTAAACTTCTCAAATGTGTTCAAATGCTGTTTGTTACTGAATCACAGTAGAGGACCATGTCTGAAGGGGTTGCCGTGGTAACCTTCAACCATAAACTGTTACCAAAGTTATTTTAAGATTTTATCTTTGAACATCACAGCTCTGGTTTCATGGCACAAACAGTTTTAGAGACAAAAAGCTTCAATTCAGAGAGAAGCACAGATTCTGTGTCCTTAAAAAGCTCAGTGACCCCAGATGTTGAACAACACACATCTGGCCAGCATCAATACATCAGGCTGGTGGGCGTGGTCTTCCTGTTGCAGCTCAGCGGTTTTCCACCATGAGTCAGACGGAAATAGCTCCACTAGCCTCTCCCTGCCACTGTCAGACAGCTTGTCTCCATCTTTCCTCTTTGCCTTGTTTGAGGGTTAAAGTCCAGATACTGATCAGTTCTTCACAAATACTTTAAATTCATCAGATTAAAAACATGAAAAACATCAACAGTCATGTCTTTTAAATGCTGTCGTTGAAGGTTCGACTGCCTAGCCAAGACGATACGATCAGAGGGGTATTTTGGATGCTACAGAGGTATTCTTTCCTTATTTAATCCATTAGACTAAGAGAACTCCTGCTTTCCGTGTAATCCCACCACCCGCGCTGTTGTTTACCCCACAAGCCCTAAACGGTTTCATCATGTTTGTTCTGGAGCTCTGAGCTGTTTTTAGGTTGATGCTGTTAGTGAACCCTGTTGTGCACACCACCGTTAGCCTGTCGGTCTTCTGCAGGTGCAGCAGTGAACCTCACACTGGTCACACCAGAAAAAGCCATCAAACTGGCAGCTAATGACGTGTTCAGACAGCAGCTCTCGAAGGATGGGTAGGTCTACCGCAGCAGGAGTAAAAAACATGTCCAAGCAATAATATTTCAGTCAAATCTAATCACATTAATGAAGGAGCACTGTGCAGTGACTGAGTGTGTGTTACTGAAACCACTCAGGCGCTTACCCCTGTGGGGCGAGGTGCTGGCCGGGTGTGGAGCTGGGACTTGTCAGGTGGTGGTCACCACTCCCATGGAGATGCTCAAAATACAGCTGCAAGACGCAGGGAGGCTCGGTGAGTTATTCACTAGATTTAACGTCACATCTTCGCTCGTTTTGATGAAGACTAACCTGGGAAGGGTTTATGTTGATCCATCAGCTGCACAGAGACCCGTAGCAGCTCCAGCTCAACCTGCTGCTCCTGGTCCAGCTCCACCACTTGTGGCCCCCCCACCACAAACCCAATCCTCCCGTCCACAGCGGCCCTCCGCTACTGGCATCACCGTGGAGCTGCTGAAGACTCGGGGCTTGACTGGCCTCTACAGGGGCGCAGGAGCTACCTTGATGAGGTTAACACACAAAATGTCACACACCTGTGTACAAATGGTAGCAAAGTGTTGAAAGGCCCAGATTGTTCCTCTGATCTGAGGGGAGACTGTGCTGGATGGTTAGCAACAGAGACAGAAGGGCCTCCTGAAAACGTGCCAGAAGTGACCATTAAAATCATCCAAAAGTCAAACTAAAGTTTCCCTTTTTTAATCCAGTAAATAAATGCACCCTAAATTCTCAATCTGTGTTTGTTTTATCCTCTGACAAATGTCCCGATCAACACCGATCAATAGAGTCCTGCAGCTATGTCTGCTTGTGGGATTGCTTCATCTCCGTCTCTCTCTGATTGTCTTTTCTGTTCCTGCTAACCGTTTTATTTTGACGTTTTTCAGGGACGTCCCCTTCTCAATGATCTACTTCCCCTTGTTTGCCAACCTCAATGCTCTGGGCCGGGAGAGCGCCGGCGGCCAGGCTGATGTGCAGGCTCAGGCGTCGTTCTGGCAGTCCTTCATGGCGGGCTGCTGCGCCGGATCAGTTGCAGCCGTTGCAGTCACACCGCTGGACGGTGGGTTGGGAGGCAGATTCAGGGATGCAGTAGTGTCGCTGTAGCTATGAATAACAGAGGGAGTTCATTATGATGAGGTATGGAGGGCTAAACGTCCAGGAAATCCGTCGTTAGTTAGATCTATATATTCCAATCCTAATGAATCATTTAAATTTAGAAAAGCAGCTGTAGTAAGGGGCTGTGCTGACAGATGTATTGTGTTCATGGTGCACCACAACAAAATAATAATTTCAGCACACATTTAACAACCAAAGCCGGACATTAAATTCTTGTTTTTCATTTGCACTCAGTCATCAAGACCCGTCTGCAAACGTTGCAAAAAGGCGAGGGCGAGGACACGTACAGAGGAATCCTTGACTGCACCAGGTAAAGCTGTAGCTTTCACAAGTTTCATCAAATGCACGTTTGTTTCTAATGCATGTTCCTGTGTGTGTGTGTGTGTGTGTGTGTGTGTGTGTGTGTGTGTGTGTCTTTCAGACGCATCATGAGGCGAGAAGGCCCATCAGCATTCCTGAAGGGTGCAACGTGTCGTGCTTTAGTCATTGCTCCTCTCTTTGGTATTGCACAAGGGGTGTATTTTCTAGGGGTAGGCGAGATGGTTCTGGGCTTGTTGGGATAGCAATCATCAGAATTTGTGGAGGCAAACGTTTAGTTTCTGTTGAAAAAAAAATAAAGGGCCACCCTGCTTTAATCTGCACAGATTTAATCAGAATAAGAGCAGAGAAACACAAACACTCCGCTAACCAAAGGAAGAGATTATTCAGATGCGTACTTACTATTAATCAGTTTCTAGATGTTTGAGTGCTGTTAGCAGGGCTGGGTCAATGAAACACGGTCCTAAATGCATCTAATCTGAGAAGCAGCAGTGTCGGTTAGCCTAAAGGGGCTGCTTGGTGCAATATGTCTAAGCTCACTTCTTCCACCTGATGCAGGATTATTCTGTCTGGCTGTAATGAAAGAATGTTATTGTTGAGGTTGCTGACCAATCGGACCTCTCCGACCATGCTTCTACTTATGAAAGTAACTAAAATGTCGTGCTGCCAGATGTCAGCGACCTGATTGGATAGTTAGTTTGTTTTCTTTTCCAGAACAAAAGCTTGACAACCATCTGCTGACTCTTATGCATTCCTCCCGCTCCATCCTGTAGGTCAGGGTTGTAATCTCGGGAGACTTTTGCAGGACTGGGAAGTGCTCCCTGCCAATCTCTCTAAGGTCGTTGGTTAATCTGATGGTAATTCTTTAATCCCTGTGATTGCGTACGATACACCTTTACACATGGCTCACTTCCTGCTACTATCACGTTATCGACAAGTTTAAATAAAAACAAAGATGGGTAATCTCATTCTTGTTGGGGTTCAAATGAATGGGGTGTGCACAAATTTAAATGCATTCAACACCTTATTGCTGTTCCGTTCTAAAGGATCAAAACTGTTCATCTTGAGCAAATTAAATAAAACGGGTGGTGAAATGGTTTTTCCCAGTATGAAGATAATTATACATGTTAGACGCTAGCAGGAAGTATTGCACCTTGTCTTGCCAACATTTAGTACTTCATCCAACAAGGTGGCACTAAAAGCAGACTTTTTTATTAGTTCCACGGGCAATCACCTTCACCTCAGTGTAGACAGAACATAGCCTGATAAACAGTTTGTTTACTGAATGTAAATAAAAAAATGGCATGCATGCTGAATTATTTGTGTTATCGGTTTATTTTTGCCTTTTCAGACGTCAAAAGCTTTCCAACAACATGAAGCTTCACTCCCGCGACCAGCTGCACCAACTTTAGCTGAATTTATTACACAGCAATAGCAAGAGCAAGCATGTAAAGGTATCTTTGGTATGTAACCTCTTTTTACTTTAGAGACAATCCTGCAATCCTTCTGCAATATAAAGTCGTTTTCCATCTATTTAGCTGGGAGACAATCAGCACTTAAACATAAAAAGAGCACTTGTGTAATTATTACTCAGCATGCTAGTGTTCAGACATCAACAGCCCACTGAACGCTCCCTCTGAAGCCTGGGGATGTGGTTATGTGTTCACTCGGATCTAGTCAGAAACATTTAATCCATGAACCTGCGGTTCGGGTTGGGGCCAAACAACGTCACTCGGATTTCAGGCATCATCTGTAAAAGAAGACGTCATCACAGAAAAGTCTGTTATACCTGTCACTTTATCCAGCTGGGAACAGTACATCCACTGAGGCCAACTGTTTTCAGCTAAGCCATAAAAAAGCAGGCAAAAGGAGATGATAAGGAACAAAAAGGGGCTGTGCTGCCCTCTGCAGACCAACAACAGAAACTGCATTTACTGGAAGTCTCGTACCTGTTGAGCTAGAAGTTCCAACCTGCTCTCCAAAGTGTTGGAAACCTTGATTTTCCCATTTTCGTTATATGCTTCAATTCCACCACAGCTGTAAAAACAAAAGAGAAGAATAAATACATAAATAGTGAGATAAACGAGTGTCTCATTCTCAGTCAGAAGGAAAGTAAAGAAGCGACATAAAAACGTCTCACATGTCAGACGGAAGGAAGCGATCCTGATCAATCCTGACTGTTATTTTGCTCTTCACTGCCTCCTGGTAGATGGGGATGTTTCTGTTAACAGCAGCCTGCAGGGTAATGAAACACGTATCTCCGTTACATCCTGCAAGGGTGGGTGCAACAGTCCAAACATGCAAAAAGACAGTCAACTCAGTCTCACCTGGACCATTTCTACATCCTGCTGTCGGCAGCGAATGGTTACTTTAGGCTCAAGCAGTTGATACAATCCCTGAAAATAAAAATCACTTCAAATGATGTGAACAGAGAGAATTCAGAAACTTGATTTAGCCGTTTTCTCCCTGGATGTCTCACCTGAAGCACCAGACACTCCAACAGCTTGGAGTAGCTGTCGGCATCTTTAGTGACCTCTGCAAGTCTTTGGCGAGCCTCGTGCAACAAGTCCTTCAACATCAACAAAGGCAGACGAACGAGAAGATTTTGTGGATCAGTGGTGGTCATAAACATAAAATATTTGATGGATTTGCAGTATTGACTCTTGACCCAACATCTAAGAAACCTTTGTGAGGCGTGAGCACTGCTCTCTCACCGTGATCATGTCGTCTCGGGTTTTCAGCACCTTAAGTCTCCCTTGGTTCTTCAGATTAGACATCTGGCTAAGAGGGGAACATTTCTTCCTTATAATTTGTTCACGCAGCAGATAAATGACCTTCCGCATGAATAAATATTGGTTTAAATAGTTTGCGGATGAGTTTTAAATTAAAAAAACATTTATTTAAAACAGACGGACTTGCATCAAAATGTCATTAATGTCGTGACGTTAGGGTGTTTCTTTTGAACCCCTTTAGACTCTAGATGAATGGAAGTGGAGCAGACATGCAGCTGCTATTGGAAGTAGTTTGGATTGTGTCTGGCCGATGGCTCCTTACTGAGCAGAGGGATCAGCGGTTAAACCACCAGCTTTGTGATTAGAGTACAGTCTGGTCTGTTACATGAGCTGCTTTTCACAAGGATCATTTCTTCAGTAAACTGAGTTTGTAAAAGAAGACTGCGTTATTATTATTTAGAAAGCCCCCCAAACTCAAAATGTAGCCACTTTCCTTTTATTTTAACTTCAAAAACATGATTGCATTCTCAGTGATCCACTCTTGCATACATGGATTTGTACTGGTCTCCCTTTGTTACAGATTATTTGCCTAAAAACCAACAACTCACATTTTCTTGTGCTGGTCAATTTGTTTTTCTTTCTTCTCGAAGTAATCCATGATTTTTACTCGCTGAGTCTGCACCAAACGACCTTTCTCAATATTGAACTCCTCCTCTGCCTGCAAACAGAGACCAGTCCATAATGGGTCACTGTGGCAGGAATCACAAGACAGGCAGACAGACAGACAGGCAGACAGACAGGCAGACAGACAGACAGACAGGCAGACAGGCGGACAGACAGGCAGACAGGCGGACAGACAGACAGACAGGCCCCAGTTACCTTTGCATCGATTTCCTCTACTTTCTCACTGGCCTCTTGCTCAATGAAGGCCATCATGTGCTTGATCTGCAAGGGTAAAGGAATTTCTTCAAATCCAGATGTCCGGGAAGTTAAACTTTCACGTTGGTTGAGTGATTTAATTAAAAAAAGATATCAACTCACGGTTTCAAACTAAAATGGAAACTTTTTTAATACACTTTGTTGAATGATTTTAATATTTATGAATAAAAACCCTAAATGTATGACAACAATTCTCCAAATAACCTTTTAAAAAGAGTATCAAGGCAAAACACCAAACAACAAAAGTTACAGAAGATGCAGAATCGCAAATAAACAACAACACGACACAACCCCTAACCCTGGGCTGGGAACTTGAGAAGTGTTAGCTACATCTGGATGTGTTTACGTTTTTTGTCGTTGTAACAAAAGTGACATCTTTACCTGTTTTTGTACGTCAGCGTCGGTCAGAGCCATGACTGGTGTTAAAAATATTTAGATGTATATAGTCCGGAAAAATAATTCTTCTCACACACTTTCTCTGTGGTGAAAATGTAACCTGTACAACAGTTGGGACCGACTTTTGTCTTGGTTTGTAGTCGAACTTGTTAATCATCATTTCCGGTCAAGCATTTCAAAATAAAAGGTCAGCATTTGGCAACAAATTTTACAGAGTTCGTCTTCTTTATAGAATTAAACAATCTATAAAGGCAGTATTGATTGTTTAAATAATAACAAGCATCTTCGAAAATGTTTTTTAACAATTACCTGAAATATTTACCAAGGCAAAAACGTCTACTCTAGCAGAGGCTGCGTGATTGTAATAATAATTAAAAAGAACACAGGCGTTCAACTATAAAATTAATTTAATTGAATGGTGTTTATTAGGTACATTTTATAAACGTATTTTTAAAAAACCCGTACAGTTAGAAGTCTTAATTTGAAGGGCGTTACAGGAACACCAGGGTTGCATTTCCGCTAGCTAGATTCCGCTCGGGCTGTGCGCTACCGTCGCCAACCCGCGGTGGCGGTCCGCTCATTTCCTTCTGCCACCGTAGCTGGACATTGTGTTGCATAACTCGTTTTAGCTGATCCTTTGTCAGCTTCTGATCGCCTCTGGACAAGGACGGTAGGAAACAGACACTTGACGAGCTCAAACGAAGTTAAAATAACGTTTCGCGCTTCTAGGACAGTTATTTAAACGTGCAGTGTTAAGCTAGCTACCACAACTGGCATGTGTGCTGTAAGGTGTTCCAGCATCAGCTTGGCTGTAATTACAACATGTTTCATTTTAAATGAGACATACGCTCAACCTGTCTCCTATGATGTCTAAACTATAAAGAACTTGTAGCTTTTTGTAATAAAACTAAAAGTATTGGATTAGCACTCCATTAAGCAGCATTGTGTTTCACTTTGACAGTTTAAGCCGGAAGTGGAGTTTTAATTTGGCAGACTTGACGTTAATTTAACTTTTTATTCACGTAACGTCACCTTGTTCTATATGTGCAGTGAGAAATAAAAAAAGAATTGGTTAGTAGATGAGAGTCGCACCTAAATGTGCACACAATCATCCGCTCATTAAAGCAGGTTAAGTGGAAGCGTTGTAATGTGGAACCACGTGGTTCATGACGTAGGTGAAACACAAGCTTTGTTGTTCTCATCCATCGCTCTACGCAGCTAATAAGAAAAGGTGCACTTGCCTTTTATCATGCAACAAAACCATGTCTCCTTGAGCAGAGGGCATCACGTGATGCATTCTGTTTTATTTATTTATGCAACAGCTGATGAACGTAAATGACCAGATGTTAAACTCACACACTAACCTTTGCAACTGTGTGCTTCAGAAACTCTAATGACTACAAAATGATCATCATGTCATTTTTCACAGGTGAATCGTCCAGCTTTGACCCTGAGATTTAATGTGCCTGAGAGCCTGACACACCTCTGACCTATGGCAACCTCGGATGCCACCACTTGTGCCTCGCTGAGTACCATTGTGCCTGCAGGTTTCCACTATGAAACCAAACATGTCCTGCTGAACTACCTGGGAATGCTGCCTGTTAATAGATCACAGCCACCAGCCACAGAACAAGGTGAGAGGAACGGTCTGGTTGTTACACTCGCACTATAACTTACATGCTCATGTTTTTATTTTTATTTATTTAACCAGGATAGAGACCCATTGAGGTTAAGAACCTCTTTTACGAGGGTGTCCTGGCCAAGAGGCAGCAAAAAATACAAACAGTTACAACGTCATGACAATGATAAAACACTCAATCATCAAAAGCAGTTAGTTATAAGTTACTAATGCTGTCTCTGAAGCTTTCAGTTTGGTTTTAAAGGCATTTAGTGAAACCTGCTCAGTCATTTCCAGGTTTTCTGCAGCTGGTTCCAAGCAGAAGGAGCAGAGCAGGCGAAGGCTCTCTTTCCTAACTGTGTGCGAGCAAAAGGAACAGGAAGTAGCAACTGATCGTTCGACCTTAAAGAATAGGAATCAACATTTTTTCGTGTGATTAAATTGCAAATATAAGGAGGTAACAATCCAAACACTGCCTTGTAAATAAAAACATACCAATGATTTTGTCTTCTAATGACGGCCATTTCACTCGTGAATATGAGTCACAGTGATGTGTTACGGCTCTGCAGCTTGTGATGAATCTCAGAGACGCATGGTAAACCGAGTCCAGTTAAAGAAGCATTCATATATATAAGATCACCATAATCTAGTACAGATAAAAAGGTAGTTGTGACAAGTTGCTTTTTTCCTTCAAAAGAAAAACACGACTTATTACGGAAGTAGAAACCCAGCTTTAGTTTTAATTTTTTCACCAGTTTATCTATATGAGATTTAAAGGTAAGGAGTTATCTATCCAAACACCTAGGTACTTATACTCTTGGACCATCTCTATGACTTTCCCTTCCAGTGTGATTAGTTTAGGAACACTATTCGGTATTTGCCTATTTGTAAAAAACATCAACTTAGTCTTCTCAGCATTAAGGGTTAGCGTTAGCTGATGCAATGAGTGCTGGACTACGTCAAATGCTTTTTGCAGGGAGTCAACAACCTGAGAAAGTGATGTTCCAAAACAATAGATGATCGTGTCATCTGCATAGAAATGGATATTAGCATCTTTAATATTTTGGTCCAAGTCATTGATGTACAAGATAAATAGGAGGGGCCCCAGGACTGAGCCCTGGGGCACCCCCCTCTGGACAACCCCAAAATCAGAGCAAAGATCCTCGCATTTAACACACTGTGTCCTGTTAGTCAGGTAATTTGAGAACCATGCTACTGAGTGTTCTGACAACCCAAGGCTTGGTAATCTGTTTATTAAGATAGCACGGTCAACGGTATCAAAAGCTTTAGACAGGTCTGTGGGCAGTGAGGCACAAAACTGTTTCCTATCAAGTGCTACTATAATATCATTTACCACCTTTATAACAGCTGTAGTAGTGCTCTACCCTTTTCTAAAACCCGATTGAAATTTCGAGAGGATGTCATTAATAGACAAAAACTCTTTTCGCTGACAAGTGACTCCATTATCTTGGAAAGCACGCTTAAATTTGATTTTGGCCTATAATTTGTCAAAACTGCTGGATCTCCTCCTTTTAATAATGGTAAAACATATGCTGACTTCCGCTGTGATGGAATTTCTTTGGAGTTAATTGAAAGATTAAAAAGAATTGAAAGTGGCTCTGCCTCATAATCCGCTGCCATCTTTAAAAAATAAGGTTCTATAAAATCAGGTCCAGGTGGCTTTCTGTGATCTATGGTTTTTAAAGCTTTATGAACTTCATGCACTGTGAAAGGTTTAAAGTTAAAAGGAGCTCCAGAAAAATTTGGGGGCATTATGCCAGATTTTATCAAAGGGATTCCTACAAAATTAAACAGGGAACCCACCGAAATAAAATGTTTGTTATAACAATTTAAGATTTTGAGTCTGTTATAAACTGGAACTGAATCTCTAAGAACAAATGTAGGAAGAGCCTGAGAGATCTTTTCCACAGCAAAAGACTTGATCACTTTCCAGGATCTCTGAGGATCTTTAAGGTTTTCTGTGGTGACCGATAGAAAATATTCAGATTTTGCCTTTTTGATCAGGGAAGTACATTTATTTCTCAGCTGCCTGAAAACAGTCCAGTCAGTAGTCAACTCTGTTGTTCTTGCCTTGTCCCAAGCTCTATTTCGTTCATGTATCATGTTTGCCAATTCTGGTGAAAACCAAGGATTTTCACGGCCCTTAATCCTTTTTAATGGAGCATGTCGATTTACAATTTGCATAAAACTTTCTCTAAAAAAAGTCCAAGCCAGCAATAAATCTGTAACTCTCCATTTAACTGCTGATAAATCATGATGAAAAGCTTGTTCATTAAAATGTTTAAGATTCTTCTTACGAATTATACGTGGCTTACATTTTGGTATCTTGACATGCTTACATACTGCAACAACACAATGATCACTAAGATCATTACAAAAGACGCCAACTGAAGTAAACTTGTGTGCCACATTTGTTCAAATCAAATCAATTAAACTGGACTTTTCTGGATATCTAAGGTTCGGTCTAGTAGGCTGGTTAACTAATTAGATAAGATTGTTAGAATCACAGAAGCTTTTAAACCCATCAGAAGTTGCCTTTGTCCAATCCCAGTTGAAATCTCCTGCCAGAAGTAGTTCAGTATAAGAAACTTTAGACAGCAACTGTTTTAAAGTATGTAGTGGCTCTTTTGGGGCAGAAGGAGGTCTGTAGCACCCGACGACTATGCTTGAAAATGACTTTGTTATTTCTACCCTCAAGGCCAAGAATTCCATTTGTTTACAAATAGATCGTGATAGAATTATAGAAGCATTAATCTGGATTTAACATAGATTGCTACTCCACCTCCTTTTTTGGTCTGTCCATGCGATAGACATTAAACCCATCTATATTAATGTCTTCATTTGTAACAGATTTCGTTAGCCAGGTTTCTGATATGATAACAATGTCAGCCCCTGTTGAGGTTACCCAGATTCTGACCTCGTCCATTTTATTTAGTAAACTGCACACATTTAAATGAATGTGTTTAAGACCAGACAATGATTTAAAATCAGAAGGAGTTTTAGCGCATTGTGGTTCAGGGCCTGGGTTTGGTTGTACATTCCCAGAAAGAAGTAGGAGTAAAACAATCAGCATTCTTTGTTTCACATTTTCCTTTGATTCAGTCTTTCGCTGCCTAGAAACTACGTTAGTGACTCTATTAAATGAACAAGTAAAATGATCATACAGAAGCATAAAACTTTGTAGCTTAGGTAAATCTCTGGGCAGAACTGGCGATAGACTTATATCCTGCTCAGGTAGAACTGGTGACTGTTTTTCAGTCGTGAAAGTCATAGAGTAAGTTCCTTTGTTACCATGGTTTTTCAGATTTGTGTGAATGTCAGAAGATCCAGTGTAGTGTGTCCAGAGATAATTGCTTGGGCCACAGTCCCAGCAAACCAGCAGGCTTACAAGAGTAGCTATTAGCGCCATTGTCCACCTTGTTTAACTCTTGACAGTGTTGAATAGTACTGACCTCCGTGGGGGGCAAGCCTGGCAAGAGACACAAGGTGCAATCCTAGAGCTGGTTGGCTCTAGGTAAACACAGCTAGCCTGGGCTCAGACTGGCTAGCTCCCAGACGATGTAGCAGGCCCAGGCTCGGTTCGATTTGCTCCAGGAGATGTAAGAATCCAAGGCTGGTGATGACTCGCTCCAACAGCAAACCCAAGCTGATCCACGCCAGGAGAACACAGCAGGCTTAGGCCTGATAACTCCAGTTGGATGTCTGAAGACTCAGGCTGTGTGGTTCCAGATGAGTGAAGCAGGTACAGACCTGTAAGCTTCAGAAGGATGTAGCAGGCCCTGGCTTGAGTGGCTTTACTCCAGGTGAACACAGCTGACCTGAGCTGGTCACCTTCGGAAGGAGATGGCAGGCACGGGCCCGGAGTTCCAGATGGGTGTGGTAACCCAAACCCAAACCAGTTAGCTCTATGAGAGTGTGATTGGTTCAAATTTCAGTCAGATAGAAGGCTAAAAGCTTGCTCTAGCCCAGCCAGTTTGCTTCAGAGAGACTTTTGTCTGCTATAAAATCGTGTTCATATAGGATAAAAAGTCCTTAAAAACTGGTGAACTCAAACATTTCACATACAAAGGAGGTGCTGCCATCTTGGATTTTTTTTTTTGCTTCAACCGAACGTGTTTTTAGTGTGTAAGGCGTGTGGCCACCTGTTTACCTGCTCGCCTCACTTTGCTCCTGCTGAGCTGGACCTTTTAAAACACATCTCAACATAGCACCACTCAGCTGCAGTTTCTCTGGTATTCCAGTGTGGTGTCCAGACTTTTCTCTTTCCGGACGCTCTTATTGAAACCCTCTGCCATATCCTTTTGTCTTGAATACTGTCCACCCTGTCCTGGTTGTGCTCGGCATTCAAAAGACTAAGATCAGTTTATTTCAACACAGATTCTGTCCTCCGTGGATTTCCTCCTGCAAAAGTGTAACGCATGTGTAAACTATTGTGCTTTCTTTGTACGAGGCAAAGAAATTACAATTAGAACAGTTGTCTTGTTCAAATGCAGTTGTGCATTTCACTAATGATTGTTTAGATTTTTTGTGGTTTATAAATTGGGTAATTAAAGATATAATCAGTTATGGAGAGGTTTTATTAAGAAAACATTAGACGTCGCATAGACTTCTGTGTATTTCCCTGTTTCTGAGACTGAAATGGGCTAAGAGGTGCAGATGAGTGGCTGGTCCCTGCTTTCCGCTCGACTCGGTCCAATTTCTGACAGCCTGTCATGTGCAATCAGTGTGGGATTACTCACACACCAAAGGCTGAAGCTAAATAGTTGTCTGTCTGCGTGCTGAGACAGCAAAACGACCAGGAACCCCCCCCCCCCCCCCAGCTCTGATCCTCAGGGTGTGCGTGCACCAGATGAAAAGGTAGAAACCAGACAGAGTTTGACTCCAGTGTTTGGAAAACTTGAATAATTAACCTGCTGTTGAGGACGCTGTTCTTCAAACCAGTTAAAATGGTCACCAGTTCCTCAGTGGAAGTAAACAAAGCCTGAATATTTCCCTTCAAACAGTCGTGATCCTTCCCGGTTGAGCGACTTCCCTCTGAATGTGTTTGGATTCTTGAGCAGTGCTGGGTTCCTTACATCCCCAGCAGCAGACCCAGTCCTGTCCAGTGGTGCTCTGAAACCGCCCGGCGACAGAACCCTCGTCAGATATTCCTCCTTATTTTAGCTCCATCATTTCATTTAAGAAGAAATACAGATGAACTGGAAATGAAATCTATCATCTGCAAAGACTTCTCCTCCATTCCTGCAGATAACTAGGTTTAGTGTGCATGAATCCTGAGCGTTACTCTTTGATCCATTTGCCAAACTTTGATCTGATTAGTTATCCAGAATGAAAGAAACCGAAGGATAAAAGTGGAGACGGACGAAGCTCTGAGGCAGCTGAAGGACGAAGTGTCTGCCTGTAAGTCCACGCTGAAGACTGACGTCAGGTTTTTACAACAACTTTGCTTCTGCATGGAAGCCTCTGGTCTCTCACCACTGACACGTCTGATGTGTGGTCTGCAGCTGCCTCCGGTTTGGGCTTTGACCACCTCCTGTCTCCAGTGTTCAGCCCAGTGGACCCAGAGAGCTCGGTGGAAGACTGCCTCGCTGCAGTTGGAGACAAAGTGGCCATCGAGCTTGGCACACACCTGGCCACAGCTGCCCAAGCACTCCTCAGCGGGTGAGCTTATGTTTGAGGGAGTGTTTCACATTAAACATTTTATAACCATTTATACCTGAAAAAGCTCAAGTTTTTGTCCTCTGCTAAGATTTTCTCACTGCACCAACAGAAAATACAAAGTTCACAATCTCACGGGAACGACCGAGTCCGTGCTGGTTAACGGCTGCTTTGGGAATTCATGAGACGTTCTACCGGAAGAGAATAAATGGAATTCAGTGTGAAAGTCGGGCCAAGTGTTTAGATTTGGTCTAGTTTACAAACATACAGCTCCACTCCCGTGTTGATGCTTGTTCTTTCTGTTGGAACAACCCAGACTTGCATTAAGAAGTTAGGATGTGTGCATCTCTGGAGATGATTAAACCCAATATGAGTAGTTTCTATTCTAACTTAGCGTTGTTTGGAGTGAGTGTTGATTTCTGCTAACGTTTATGTGTTTTAGACCTCTGGACTACCCACGTTTCAGAAGCACGACCCTGGATCTGTCATTGCACACACAAGGAGGCTGGAACAAGGTGAGTCAGTCGCATCTTCTAAGCTGCTGTGCTTAAAACCGTTATTCCAGATAGAAACCTGCTTCATGGCTCACCACCTGCAGGTTCTGGTGCCTCTGGTGTTGCTCCAGGCTCTGCACAGGGAGGGTCAATCTCTGGAAACACTGTTGGAAGTGGGGCTGCACTTCCTGGAGGAGGAGGAAGCTGATTGCATCATCCAGCAAGGAGGATGGGTGAGTTTTGCAACTCAAGCGATTTGACATGAGTGAGGAATAACCATCATGGAAGGAGAAGCTCCTGGGTCTGGGTGGATTCAGACTCCACTACCAAGAGTCTGGGACGATGAAAGAAGGATCCAGATTATTACACTGATGGAAAAGCGAGAATGTAGATTTCCAAATGACCAGATGAGGGCGTCAGTGACTGATTTGATCATTTATATCGAGTTAAACCCGTTGATTACAACGATCACGGCCTGAATTTAAATCTTTGTTTTTAAATTAGAATAATGCAGTTTACCGAGCTTGTAAGAGACTTCTGGAGGTGAACAGTCAGATGTCAGGGAGAGTATTCAGAGTTGTGACGGGGTGATTTTTTAACGTTTCATGTCAGGATCAGAACACCGCTTCAGCTCGGCAGGCTGTAAGAAGTGGAACTCTTCCTGTAATGAGGTCATCCTGAGGAGGAGCCGCGGGACGTGACACGCCAACCGTTTTGTTTGTCGCCGTTAACCTCACGATGTTCTGCCTGGTTCCACGCATCGAACACAGAACACTGGCTTCAAACAAAGCCACGCTTTTGCTCAGTTATGTCATAGGAGATGAGGAGGGATGGGGGGGCATGACGAGAGTTGCGATAGGCAGGATGGGAAGCCAAGCAGGGGAGGGGTGAGAGATCAGCAGCCAGTGAGAGCACGGTTAGATGTTTATCACTGTGACATCTGCCTGCATGGACTCTCTCCACCTCCACCTCATCGCCACCACTCGCTCGCCTTTTGGACTTCTGAGGGATTTTCGCATCCGAGTGTAAACCGGGGCTTTGGCGACTTCGCACCAAGGTAGGAGGTTTTTCTTTGGAGCCACTCAAACGATGACCCCATTAGTCCTGATGGGACAAATTGTCAGAAGCTGAACTGGTGTTTGCTTACTGGCAGCATGGCTGCCACTTCCTACGGAGTCAGAGGCAGCCATCTCAGTCGTCTGAGGAAAGTTATTACCATGCTATAAAGGCTAAAACTGTGCATTTTGAATCGTAATTTTGGCACAAATCAGATGTTTCGTGGTTTAAATGTTTATTCTGTTAATCTTACAGATTCTAGCGTGACAGAGGCACATGACACACGTAACGTTACGGTTGAGTGGCTCTGATAATTCCTTTGTTGGTTTCGGCAGAAGATTGTGACCCTAATGTGGTGTTCGGTCCATTTGGCACGAACAAAGGTGCCTGGCCTCAGGCGGGTAGGAGGTGTGATGAGGTCTTCCTGACACATCAGACGTCGTCCTTCTGACGGGCTGAAAACTGCTGCTGCGCTCTGATGAGTGCTGACGGCTGCTTCTCACCTCCGAGCAAGGAGAGAGAAATCACCAAACCCCGGCTGCAGTTTTCAGTTTATATTTACACGAGTTTCTCCTCTGAGAAGTCCTGGTGCTGCAGGGACGTTGTTTTAAGAACAAGCTGGTGTGAGGGCTCCAGCCCAGGCAGAGGACGTCCCTCTGCTGACTTACGTAAGCAGTAGGAGACCAGGCCCAAGAGACCACGACTGCACGCATCTAATAAAAAATACAAATCCGAGCATCCATGTTTCTGCATCTGTTCGTTAGTCTAACTGTTCACTCGATGCTCGGTTAAATGTACCGATGCAGATTTAAAGCTGCAGATAAAAAGGCCACATTTGCATCAGTAAAGTTAACAAGTTCAGCCTGATAGGCATGAATACGTTACAGCATCTGTTAGCGTGGATTTTAAAAGATGGGACATATTCTAGTGAGATATTTTAAACATTGGAACAACAATATGGATTAAATTTAGTCTGGCGGTGATTTTAGATTGATGTCTATTTTAGGTGATTTCTGATCCACTAGAATGTCTCAGCAGGAAAGATGGAGGAGGACTGATGCTGCGTCTGCGGTGATGAGGGTGTTGTAGCGGTCTGTTGTGGTGAAGAGCTGAGCCGGAGAGCGAGGCTCGATTTACCGGTCCGTCTACGTTCCTACCCTCTCCTACAGTCACGAGCTTTGGTAGTGACCGAAAGGACGAGATTACACACGCAAGCAGCCGAAATGAGTTTTCTTTGCAGGTTGTCTGGGCTCTAGGTAGGGTGAGAGACTCGGTCATCCAGGAGGGGCTCATAGCAAAACTGCTGCTCCTCCACATCGAGGGGAGCCATTTGAGGTGGCTTGGGCATCTAATTCCATTTTTGGTTCTTTTTTAAACACAGGAAAGGTTTCTCTTCCTTGCTGTGTTTAGGAAGCGACGCCACCACCAGCGTCCGCTCTGAGGAGGTTTGCAGATGCAAACGAGACTGTCAGCGGACGCTGGTGGTGGCGTCGCTTCCTAAACACAGCAAGGAAGAGAAACCTTTCCTGTGTTTAAAAAAGAACCAAAAATGGAATTAGATGCCCAACACCGAAAGAACGTATCAAAGAGGCTCGGGCATCTATTTAGGATGCCTCCTGGACGCCTCCCTGGGGAGGTTTTCAGGGCACGTCCAACCAGGATGTATCTCAGCTGGCCAGGGAACGCCTTGGGATTCCCCCCAAAGAGCTGGCCCAAGTGGCTGCATGGGGAGAGGGAAGTCTGGGCCTCCCTGGGCCCCTGCAGCCCGCCTCCAGATGAGCAGAAGAGAATAGAAATACCTCAGCAGTAGAAATCGCGAGAAGGTTGCATCAGTCGGTGAACTCTGTCCCTCTGTGGAAAGCCAATATGTAATTTAATTATGTGTAAAAAAAACCCAGACCTAGTTTTTTTGCTGGGGCTGTAGCGTGTGGCAGTTTGGGTTAGGGTTACACCCGTCTCAGAGTTCTGACCCGTGTTCTCCTGGAGAGTTTAAGTTGAGGGAAGAAAAGATGTTTTTTAAAGCATTTCGGTCTGAGCAGGGATGTAATAAAAACATGTATTCACTACTGCTGTGGTTACACAACAAACAAACGGCGTCACGGCCTCAGGATATGCTAAATGGCCTGTATTTGATATAGCGCCTTCTAGAGTCCTGGAACCCCCCAAGGCGCTTTACAACACAACCATTCTCACACACACATTCACACACTGGTGGGGATGAGCTACCATGTAGCCACAGCTGCCCTGGGGCGCACTGACTGGCGCCACCGGTCCCTCCGACCACCACCAGCAGGCAACATGGGTTAAGTGTCTTGCCCAAGGACACATCAACAGTGACAGACTGAGCGGGGCTCGAACCAGCAACCTTCCGATCACAGGGCGAGCTCTTAACTCCTGTGCCACCGTCGCCCACACAGGATAAGGGTGGAGGACTATGTGTTACCCAGCTTCATGGTCTCAGGAAACATGAATCATTAAACAAAACCTGAAGTTATTTGTGTTTAAATGTGTTAATTTAACATGTTTTATTCTGCAAAACGACTTCTAACAGTTAAAAAAAAACAACTCATTTATCTTATTTTTAGTGTAAAAGGAAATAAATTCTCTTTAGCATAACTTAAATCAGGTAAATATCCTTTAAAAATATCCAAATGTTCTTGTTTTGAGTAGAAAAATGCCAGTTGGGTAAGTTATAGTTTGTCTAGAAATCTGAAAACTAGAATCTAATTTTTTATTTGCTAACTAGTTCAGGCCAACAGATTCCGCTTACTCCACCGCCGGATTTATTTTTAACTCAAAACAAAAATGCAATTGTATTTAAGTTACTTCATGCAGATTTTCTGGAGATTTCTTTGTTTCTTTAGACTAATAAGATAAAATGTCTAAAAAATGAGTTGTTTTTTAAACTTTCTGTAGTGTAGCTCTAGATTTTTACAGTGAACAGACGGCTAACGGTCTTGTAGCAAAACGCACACACAGAAGTTTTCTGGTGGAGACCTGACCGCCCTGTTCTGCAGATCGAGGCTGCGTCCGAAGGGGAGAGGATTTTCTCCCTCGTGCAAATCAGCTTATGAAGAACTCAAATGTAGGATGACGATGGGATGCTGTTAGATTTAATCTTGTCCATTCCACCCGCGCCACAGCTGGTGTGCAGAGGGAAATGACCTTAAACGTTCTTCGATATAAACGCAAGACCAATGTCCATAGTCTGCTCACAGGCGCTCTAATGGAGACTTCTGTGGAGGTTTATCAGATGTTTATGCTAACTCCTCAGTTTTACTGCTGAATCCCATTGGTTCATGTGACACGCAGCACAGCTGCGACCTCTTCTAGGTCACCTCGAGCATCAACACCTGCTAACGCCTCGTCACAAATCCTATCTACTCAGGTTACTTCTTTTTTTGTGCAATCTGCTAAATTCGTCTACTCTGTCAGTAGTTTGGTTCAACTGTCTGTAGCTCGTCTTACGGGGAGCGCTGCTCACGTTCTGATATCACATTCATGCTCGTTTCTGTGCCACAGGGTGGAATATTGGTCTTGGTGCCAGAGGAGCAGTGTGGTTCGACTGTAGCTGAAGACAGCAACGACATTTGCATCATCCCGGAGGAGCAGCATCCGGACCGGCCCAGTCCGCTGCTCTGCACAGCCGACAGCAGCGAGCAGAGCTCCTGGCAGACGGAAAGCCTTCCCGTGTCTCTGGCTGGTCACGAGTCCTGGGCACAGGTCGGTGCAATGGACCCCGAGGATGTCAAGAGTCTGGACAGCAACGAGGGCGTGGCGCTGGCCGAGGAGCGCAGTGAGAACAACTCCTCCAACTCGGACATCGTCCACGTGGAACGCGAGGAAGCCGAGCTGCTGGAGGAGGGCGGTGAGGTTGGAGTCACAGAAGAAAGTATGATTAGCGTTTTAGGAACAGAGAGCGAGCTAGCTGAGCTGAGGGCGGAGTTTCAAGACCAGACTTCAGGTGTTCCAGTGCCGACTGGGCCAGACTGTACAGCCGCTGCATTCTTGGTTTCACTGGAGCCGGCCGTGGTCCTGGAGACACCCGTCAGCTTGTCTGAAGAGCCCTCTCTCATCTCCGCAGAACCAGAGCTACTTCCCCCTGTCCCAGAACCTGCTGATTGTGAATTTTCAGCACCGTTACTTGTTCCTGCAGTAGAACCAGAACCAGAACCTGTGCCTCCTGAGATAGAAATCCCTGCTCTAGCCAAGAAAAACGTAGCGGCACCAGCAGAAACTGAGGTCACATCAGAGCCAACGTCCGAGCTACAGCAGGAAGTGGAGCCTGTCCTAGTGCCTCATCACCCAGAACCGGATACCACAGAGACTGCAACACCAGCGTCCGAGGTCCCGGCTGTGGAGATAGCAGTGGCTTCTGCTGAAGTCCCCGCCGAGGAGGCCCTTGTGGCCCCTGTAAACGCCCCAGCGATCTTCATAGATGCCCCTGTAGCTCCTAAGGAGGCCCCTCCTCAGGAGGAACCAGTGAAGCCAGCACCTGCAGCTGAGTTACAGATGCTGTTTTATGGAGGCTCTGCGCTGGTGCTACTCGCTGCCCTTCTATACGGCATCATTTCACTAAAGAGGAGGTAGAGAAATGAAATGTCAAGAGGGAGAATGCAAGGCAAGTGATGAAAGTAAATCATTTAAGTTAGACCTTTAAAATTAAGTTGATCTAATTTAGCATCTTTGAAAGTCTGAAGTCCACTAAGTGCCCCTAAGCTGACCAAACCCTCCTCTGCAGCTGCTCTAGTCCTCCAGCTTCAAACGCCACACGTCTGATCGGTTTTCTGTTGTCTTTGACTCCCAACCTCTTTTCTGTAGGATTTTAGTTTTAGACTGAAATCAGTTCTCGGTGGCTTCAGTTTGTTTAGTCCCACCGGTCAGTAACCCTGTGTGGAAAAAGTTGGTCTTGGAGATGAAAGTTAAAGCAGGCATCACTGTCATTTAAAGCCTTCCCATACAAGTTTTTAATTCAGATTTACCTTCTGAGGACAAATTCTTAAATCCAATGTGGTATTTTATATTCTGTGAAACTTCCGAGTTGCAGCAGGAAAACTGGGATAATCTCTTCATGAACTTTAAACATTACTGCAAATGCAAATGAGTTTTATTTGTGTCACTTACACCAATAAAGGATTTTTGCCCTACCATGCATACAAATCCATTTTTATTGTGCCTGAATGCTTACTTCTGTTGCTGCTTCATGTAGAAACATCATCCATCCTTACAAAGATGCTTGTTTTTGTCCTACGATGCAATCTTACATAGATCCTGTTTCACACACGGGTTTGCCCCCATCTGAGTACAGCGCTTTAGTGGGACTTCATTTACGTTGAATACGTGCTATTAAACTTAAGCTTTAAATCATTTAAGCTACACAAATGACAAAATTCAGGTTTATCATGAAAATATAGTTTTGTTTGTTCCATGAATATAAAACAAGCCAAGTCTCAAACTCAACTCTCAATTCTCCATTTTCACACAAGACTAAACTTAAATGAGTCCCCAGTTTGCTTTGGTCCGTTACGACTATGTGAGCTTTGCAAATGCCAGCTCCTTCCACAGCTGGCTGGTCCTGAGGACGAACGGGTCCGTTTCAAATTCAGCCGTCTGAAGTCACCTGGACCCAGCACAGCAGACCAGCTGGTGCACTGTAGTGAAGAGCATTCTCAGCAGCTGTGGCGTCTGTACACAAATCCCCTTCACCAGGGTGAGAGTGAGGGCCATGATGACCCGCTCCTGGTGGAGGTGCTCCAGAACCACTCCTCGCTTCATCAGCTGGTCCACTTCATCTGCAAGGTGATCCTTCCAGTGCTGTGATGCAGAAACAACAGCTGCATTAGTCAGAGCATCTCTGCTGAATGACATACATGGCATTTACCAGATGACGTCACAACACTAACTCGGAGCAGACGCACCTCAGAAGGAGACCTTGAGATTTTCCTACTCAGGTTCTGAGTAGCCTGGGTCACAACATTGTGTTCAAACTGGGCCGCGATCTCTCTCAGCCCTTCTGCGACAGCTTGGAAGTCTACAAGTTCTCCTGCATGGCCTGCAGCTGGAACACAGAGCATCACTGCAACAAACCCTCATGCTCACGTCTGTGTGCGGACGCAAGTCTGCACACATCAGATACTAAAGTCGTGTAAAATCCTGTTCTCACTCACATATTCGATTTGACTTGTAAATAGGAACCAGCCGATCAGACATTTTACTGCGGGGACTTTTGGACTTTAACTAGCCAGGAGGTAAACAAACACCCTGACCTACCAAATCCGACTTGACCTGTTAACTTCAAACCACTAGAACATCTAAATAATACAAACTAAAACAGGGAGACTTACCGAGAGGCTGCGGGTCGACCTGGGGCTGAATGTCATCTATAGACAATGTAATTCTTCCTGGCAAGTGCCCATCGGCTTCAAGCTCTCCATGGTCCGGAGTGTTTACCTGGTGCTCGTGGCGGTTTATAGCCCATTCAACCGCTAATTCGTTGCAAAGGGAAATTAGCTCATTTCTGTAAAGCTGGTCGATGCAGTCTGCCTGGAGGAAGGCGACAATAACACGAGCCGCGTCTTCACTGTTCGCTAGGCTCCCCGAGATGTCCATCGACGTTCAGTCATTAAACACGCTGTTTAGGAACAGGACGCAGTTTGGTCGCGTTAGCTAGTTAGCAACTCAACAGCTCAGCGTCTACTTCTAAAACACGCCTTAAGAAGAACGTTTCTTTCATCTTATGCATTTAAACGATTCTGGAGAGTGACGTCTGAGGGGGGCCCAATCCTGGTCCTGGGGGGCCCACCGGTATCCAGCAGGTTTTGTGGTTTCTCTGCTCCAACACACTTGATTCAGTGGTTGAATCACCTGTGCAGCAGTTCATCAGGCTCTACAGAAGCCTGTTAATCACCTGCTGATTGAATTCAGGAGTGTGGAAGAAGGGTTAAAACTAAAACCTGCTGGATACCGGCCCCCCAGGACCAGGATTGGGCACGGCACCCCTGAGACGCTAGGTTAGCATAGCTTAATGCTAATGTTAGCTTTTGATCAAGGATCACAGTGGGTTGAGCAAAACTAACCGTTAATAACAAAAACTGCCTTTTTGACTTCATTTAAAACAACTCGTGTACTCACTGTGGTCTTCCGATATGGAACAAATTATTTCTCTCCATCAAATGAGTTCAAGAAGCTCCTAAAGTCCACAACACACGTACGTGTGCGCGTGATCTTTGGTGATGCGTTCAGGACAATCGGAATTTGTAGAGTTAGCATCTTGCGTGCCGATGCCTTCAAGAGCATTTGAACTTTCTCCATTTAAATGCAAAATTATGTTTAAGTATCAAACATTAAGATTAAACTGTATAATTACGTTTCAATGTCGCTATAATTCACAACATTCATGCGGGAGGAGGAAGTAGAAAGCAGACGCTTACATACAGGTTACTTTGCGTATATACATGTCGATGGTTACTAAAAAAACTTCCTTATAAGTAAAATGAAGACATGGGCGTAGTCAAAATCAAATAAGCATTTTTAGGAAGGAGAAAAGTGGCCAAGTCATTAATATGGAAGTCGTGCAACAGGGCTTTTTAATAGAGTTCTTAATTCACCAACAAATGAATTTTCTGATGCAACACAAATTTGACCACGACTAAAAAATTTTAAAAAGTATGGCGGCATAAGAGACTGCAGCTGCGGATAAGAGGCACACTCCTCCTGGAAAGCCCCCCTTTTCAGTTATCGCTTTGGTACATCTACTGAACATGAAAGAAAATTGAATAAAAATGCTTAAAACCTTTATTTACAATAAAAACAAATAAAAAATATCTAGCCAGCCTACTGCATTCAACTTAATGCAATAAAGACAGAAAAAAAATCTGATTAGTCAAAAGTTCTCAGATTTCTTTGGCAACACCAGAAAAACAAATTTGCATGTAATAATTTCTGGTAGCAGTGTTGAGTCATGGCTTTGTTATAGCAAGAGCCACAAAATCATCCCCTTTAGACTCCACTAGTGGAACAACCAAAGCTCATGGATCGAGGAGTCTTCCTGCCAACCAGCCTCCTTCCAGTTCTGGGCAAAGACCCCATCTTAACAGGGGGTTCCACCGCTTGTGAAAGGGTTGGTTTGGGTGACAAAGAGGCCTGTCGCGCCTCCTGGAGCTCTCTGTGGAGAGAATAAAAAAAGCAGGAACACATTTCAAGTGGCATCAGTGTCTTGGGCCAAATCTGGTAACATAAGCAGCCACGCATGAAACTGCTCCACCTCCTGGACACATTTGTACTGTTCTCATCCTGGACACTACAGATCTCCTTATGTCCTCCTACATCTCACCCGACTAGAATAGGATGAGCTACTCAAGCTTGCAGCAGTAATGGAATTTGTTCAGAGACATGCATGCACACTCACCCCATTGCATCTTCTCAAATGGGCCAAGTTCATCTCTGCATGACATTAATATGATGCAATGACGTTTAATCTGGCTGCACACTTTTTATGCTTCTTTCAAACGACTTGTGCTGTTTAAGCATTTCATATTTGTTGCAATACGCCGTGTACGGCTAAAAGTTGTTTACAAATGTATAAAAATAAAGCAGAGATGGTTCTTGATTGAAGCAACAAGAAGAATCTTCCTTACTTCTCAAGCATGGCTGTCCTGAACTTCTCCATGCTGAGCTCCATACGAAGCTGAGCAGCCAGCCTCTCGGTCCTCTTTTCCCTCAAAAGTGTGTGTTTGCAAAGCTCCCTGGCAGATGGGCGTTTCGTCGGGTCTGAATCCAGCAATGACTGAAAAAATGGCAGCAACAACAAATAATGAGTCGTTTATACAGACGGCTGCACAAAATACACCAACAGATACAAACCATAATTCAAACAAACGCAGGTGAAGACTACCTGAAGTAAATCTGTGAAGCAAGGGGAGAGTTTCTGAGGCAGGTTGGGCAGGTGCCCTTCTCGAAGACTGTGCCACTGAGCTCCATTTCGGGGCAGAGAAGGCGTACCGGCTGCCAGCAGTACTGTGAGGCCCAGAGCAAATATGTCAGCCTTGGGGAGGTGGCAGTAATCCTGCAGAGCAGAAAAAAAAACACTGAAATGAAAAATGAAAACCAGAAATAATGTAAAAACATGAGTAGAGTGCTTTTTTAAATGCAACCTCATGCAGGACCTCATTAGCCAGAAAGCGGCTGTCCCCCTCCTCCACCTGAGGGCTAGTGACTGATGTCACATGACCCAAATCACCTGCAGAAAAGACAGAAAAAACCTGAGTGGAAAAACGATCGTTAAAAATGCAACGATCAAACCAATCCCATCCTTCAATACCAATTTTGTAAATGACTCGAGCTGAAGAGCTTTCATCATCTTCATCGCTGTCGCCCTCGCCCCCTGCACGCGTGCTGGGCTGCTGGCAAATAAATATGTTACCTAATAAAGTCAAAAGGAAAGACATTTACAGGCAGAACCAACTTTTACTTACAAACCAAATGGTGTCTAAGTGAAACTCGTTCACAGACATACTTGGTTTGATGTCGAGGTGGACGAGACCCGAGCTGTGGATGTACTTCAAACCCATGGCTACTTGTAAAAGCAGATCTTTCAGTTCAGCCTCGGTGAAGAGTTCTGCTTGGGCCTCCTTCTTCACAATAGCGTCACCGAGACTTCCACCTTAGCCACCAAACCACAAAGCTCACAGTCTGCGTTCAACATGACACAATTATGCTGCTTCTTCCCAACCCTGCTGTGAAACCTACCATCACAGTACTCATTCTGAATAATCATGTGGTCATCCTCTGCCCATGCTGAATAATAGCGAACAACATGTGGGTGGTGCCCAAGAACAGCGTGTGCATACACCTCCTTTAGCGCCAGCTGCCTGCCAAAAGAAGACACAGCCATGAATTCATTTAGATTCACATGAAAGCACGGAAGGATCATCTTCCAACCGGGATCCACCTGAAGAGGACTCACTCATTGGCGGAGCCTGCTAGGGGTCGTCGAGAGCGTTTTATGGCGTACAGGCAACCATCCAGTCTGTTGATGCACTTATAAACGGCCCCAAATTCCCCCACACCAATGCTCTCCAGCTCCAGGAACTCACTGTCATATCGTGAGAGCATGAAGGCTTGGACGGCTCGTCTCTGCCAGAGAAACAGACGGAGGGCATAATGCTAAAAACCAGAACTAAAAATAGTTCTCAGGAAGGAGCGCACGTCACAGGAGTTGGACTAGATCAGGAGGAACCAGGGTTTCTTTGTTGTCTCACCAAATATGGTGAATACATCCTCAAGCACTAGGTTTTGTCAGCGCTGACGGCAGACTTCATTTATTTATTTATTTAATAGGAGATTCCTTAGAGAAATCCCGGAAGCAGAATTGGCAGCATGTTATTTTGGACAAAGCAAGAGGAGGCGGCAGCTGAGGATGACACGGCCTGATGACGAAACCCAATCAGAAGCATCTGATGAAGAGGACTGGGTTTCACCACGGGCACGGATAAAAACGGATGTACCTTTTGTGGGAGGAAGGCTTCATCCTCCTCAGATGACGCGAGGCTGTGCTTGAACCTGAAAAACAAAACAAGGACTTAGACCTTTTCCAACAATACAACTCCTAACAGCCCACGTAAAACCCATCGAGTCTCACACCGTCACAGATCAGCTTTATTATATTTACCTGTGTACACGATCTTCTTCATCGCTCCTAAAATTACTCTCCGACTGCAGCGCGGTTTTTCTGCGTACCGTGTCAGGCGTGAACGGATTCACGTTGACCGAGGGCACCTGAAGGAGATTTGTAGCGGGTGACAAATGCACGATCCTCTGATGGTGACCGATCTTTATGTTGGAGTAAGACTGAGACGACTTTGACAGCAAACTCTAACGGGGGAAAGAAAAGAAGGGAACATTTGAAATGAGGCACAACAGATTCACAGAGAAAAGTCACTCGCAGCTGTCGTCCACCTTGGGGGTGCTGGGAGATTCACACAGCCTCAGCTTCTTCCAAGACGCGTAAGGTATGGGGCTGGTGCATTGTAGAGGCAACGTGTTGCTTCTGCTGCGGTGGCGCTGCACTTTGGGTGTCCTGCAGGCCGAGCTGGGCGTGCACAGCCTGGGACTGCGGGTGATGGCACAGTCATCTGAGGTGGTGTCACTGCTGTTCCCCTCCTCTCCACAGCTAGAAAAATCCAGCTGCTGGTTGATCTCTTCATGCCAAGTCACCATGACTGGGGCTTCAGTTGGGTAGGTTTCCTTCATGTTGCTAGATCCTTGAACAAACAGCACACATACGGTTGCTACATGGGAACAGTGGTGAGGAGATTAAAATGATTTATGGATATGCTTTTTCATTCTATTTTAATCTGATTATTGCCTAAACGTATGCTCCAATCACCAAGGCTGCACCAGGACCACTGGCAGATTTCCAGTTTTGATTAAACACCTTCACCACTGATAAATGTGCAATGCCAGAACTGTTATAATGCAAACTGAAACAGATCCAAACACTTCTTCAATCTGAATGAAGTCATTTTCAGGAAAGATTGTGTCTAAACAACAAACTGCCGACTTGCTTTGATCGAAACTGTTTTTAAAATAAAGTCATCATTAAATGCTACTCTACCTTTCAAAAGACGTCCACAACCAAACATAAGAGCATAATTATTTACAGCAGCATGCTGGTACTTCAGGTCTGGTTTAAACGGCCGTCCCCGGCTCACCGGCAGTTATTGTCAATAAAAACAGAAACAGGCGTTTATTATTGGTCACAGCTTTAAAACTCGTGTTTACTCACCAACAAGCCATCCTCCACACGACACCACGAACACGCTGGTGTTTCGCGCCACGCATGAACAACACTTCCTGTTTAAATAATTATGTCACCGGGTTCGAGGCACCTAGCTCTCTGATTGGTTAGCTTCTTCATTAGCGTTGCTGCTAATTGGATGTGCTTTAAAAACGTCTTTAATAAAAAAAAAGTAAAATAATTATGTTTACGTCACTTTAGAATATAAGTGTACATTACATGTGAAGCGTGTTATTATAATGTCTAAAAAACGTCCATAACAGAAATGAGGTCATTGTATTAAATAGTGACACAGACACGTGGGCGGAAGTGGGCTACGTCATCACAACAGAAAGACAAGAGGAGGAAAAGCAGCCCGTCCGTGGACGTGACACGCTTACAGAACCGTGGAGAACAGCCCCGCCAGCACCAGGAGCCCATGACCCGGTTCCAGCAGCGGCTTTAACTCACACCCAGCGGCCCGGCACCGGAGCTTCTACCCGTTCCTCCCATCCCGTGGTTTCGGAAGGCTGCAGCACCATGGTGGAGCAGTCGGATCGCGCCCCGCTGCTGGACTGGGAGGAGATCCCGCCGCCCGACCAGAACCAGAACCAGGCGGCCCAGCCCCCGCAAGAGGAACGCACCGCGGCGGAGAAAAGTTCGCGGGTCGCCGCCGTCCCCACCGCCGTCACCTACAGCCCGACTCGGAACGTAACAGCTGTCGTCGTCAGCAGGGACCGAATCCGTCCGGACCTCGTCGGTATAGACCGGAACCTCCCCTTCCCGAACATCACGGCGAGGGATGATTGGGGGGAGCAGGACCGGATCGTGTCTGTGTTTGTGGTGACTTTCGATACGAGATCTGGTGAGAAAACGCATCAGCTCCGCACGCGCTGGCATGATCATCACGTGATGCTTGATCTGAGGACTGTCTTCACTCCTAAAGATGCAGCAGTCCTCACACAGGTCACGTGTTTCTGTCTTGGTGCAGAGGAAGGTTTTACATGAACTCATCAGCTGTTGGTCATGTTTACTGGAGAATGAGTCAGACTCTCGGACTGCATCAGATCTGAGGAAGTAACTAAAGGCAAAAGCAGCTGAAGTCAAGGAAGTGACTTCACTTTTTGTGTGTGAATCACAGGAAATCTGGTGGAGTGGTTCCTGCCTCATGACATCAACCTCGATGGAGTTGAGTTCAAGTCCATGGCGAGTGGCTCCCATCGCGTCACCAGTGACTTCATGTGGGTAATTACTGAGTCTGACCTTTGACCCTGATAATAAAACTCCCTCTGTGTTCATGCTGGCCGTTTGGCTTTCCTCTGCTTAGATATTTCCGTAAAGGCAACTTCTTCGGGCTGGCCTGCTTCGCAAACATGCCTGTGGAGAGTGAGCTGGAGCGAGGAGCCAGGATGAAGTCCGTGGGAATTCTGTCTCCGTCCTACACTCTGCTTTACCGCTACATGCACTTCCTGGAGAATCAAGTCCGGTAAGACGTGCTGTCACTTTAGTCTTTATGCGTTTAGTTTTCTTCTTTTCTAGCCCATCCTCTTCCTCATGTTTGTGTTTACGCACCAACCTCCTGCCTGTTGTTCTGAATGTTCTCATCCATTAAACATGAGCCCAGAGTCCCTGTTTGTGTCCCGAGAACACAAAACGTGCCGTTTTTCCTTTAGAAACGAAACACAAAGCTTGTAGAAACCTTGACAGGATCTTTTGTCCTCTTTTCTGTGATGTGGCTCATCCCATTCATCGCCTTTTAAACAGCTTGACTCACTGATTTAGTGCAAATATGAAAAAGCTGCGTTTTGTTAGACCTCGCCTCAGTGGACCATGATTGTCTAGCTTAAAGTTTTAGAAGCAGTCGCTGCTGCTGCTGCTTTGGACTCTGTGCAGTGAGCCGAACGTAATCGTCGGCTAAATCTGTTGTGATATGAAGAAAAACAAAAAGAAAACCAGTTTTCAGACTCAACAGAACCCAGTTCTATCATGCATCTTCATGGCAGCTGAGATTTTATACCTCGAGGCTAAATAAATAAAAATAACATCAGACAGATTAAAACTGCATGTTCTCACGTACTGATCAGTACAAACCCTGGAGCCCAAAAATAAGACAATGAAATTCAGACAGTGAAAATAATTCATTTCCCTCTGGGATTAATAAAGTATTTTTGAATTTGAATTTGACCAACTGAACAAAAGCAAAGCAGCCGGAATGATTTAGTTAAACTAGGTGAGGCAGCTTGATCTCTGTAGCACATTTCAATCACAGACGCAGTGTAATAATAATAATAATAATAATAATAATAATAATGCATTGAACTTATATAGCGCTTTTCAAGACCCCAAAGACGCTTTCACACACTCTCACATTCACACACCACTAGTGATGGTAAGCTACTTGTAGCCACAGCCACCCTGGGGAGGTCTGACAGAGGCGAGGCTGCCATTTGGCGCCGCCGGCCCCTCTGACCACCACTAACACAGGCAAGTTGGGTGAAGTGTCTTGCCCAAGGGCACAAGAGCAGGATACCCCTGGAGGGAGCTGGAATCGAACCCATGACCCTCCGATCATGAGGCAACCCGCTCTACCACCTGAGCCACTGCTGCCCCAGTAGCTCCAGCAGGCTGTACGAGGTCGGCATTAAAATCAACGGGACAACGTAACGCAGCAGATTATGAAGTCAAATGCAAAAATACACAAAAAATTAAATGTAAGAAAAACAATAAAAAGTTAAAGGCCGAGCAGGTACCGTACAGACGGTGCTGCATAAAACATTCATTCAAAGGCTGATGAAAACATGAAGGTTTTCAATTTGAATGTAAAGGTTTCTAGAGTTGGGACTAGGGCTGCAACAAACGATTATTTGGATAATCGATTAATCGGATGGGGTCTCGACACGATTAATCGATTAATCGGATTACATGGGGAAATTTTTAAAAACTGCTAGGGAAACGTTATTTCTCTCCTTCCTTCACTTTATTTAACACAACATTATTAGAAAACAGTTCAATAGCAGAAAAACAACATGCCATCACCTAAATTGTCTTATAAGGTGTATAGACAGAGACCCTAAGCTACATCTATCTGTGACCTAAAATGCTTGGTCCAAGTTAAACAGCTTAAGGGCAATTCTCATCTGTTTTGTTTGATCTCATCTGTTAATATTTATTTTAAATGTAATTAAACATAGGCTGTGAATTAATCAAAATTGATCACTATTTCCAAAACTGACTGAAAAAATACCAAATAAAACAAAAGTAAATGAATGCCATCCTCCTTGCGATGATGCCCTGGGCAACTGCCATAAAGTCACATCAAGAAATGCTGCTGATCATTCCAATGATCCCAAATAGACTCACATTAGGCCACATGAAAGCAACTGAACCCAAAAATATATTAACCAGTATATAACTGCACTCTCACACAACACGCCTGCAGCAACAGTTAGGACTCCTCCCTCCCTTTTAAAAGCGTTTTTGCTTCTGAGGACATTGTGGTTGTAAAACCACATGCTAGTAGTCTGGCCCCGGTGTGATCAACCAGTTTCTGCGGGAATGTGACGGCGGAACCAGGGCCAGATTAACACTTTGTTGTACCCTGGGCAACAATATTCAAGGGCTCCATCATCACGACCCGAGGATCACCATAATGTGGTCACATACAGAATATTTTACTGTAATATGCAGTAAATATACTCAATACTTGAATGCCTGACAACACGTAACCCGCCCAGAGTAACCTTTGACCCACCTCGTGTGGACTGACCAATGAGGAGAGGGTCTTAACTTGAGGCCCTCTCTTCATTGGTCAGTCTGCATGAGACTGACTCTCAACTGACGTTCAGTCGTAGGCAGCGAAGCGTCTCTGTGCAGCGCTAAAGCCCGGGTGGACAGTTTGTTTAATGTAGGGTGACCATATTTCCATTTCCAGACAAGAGGACAGGGGATCTGTGCCTATGACGTCACACTATGGCAACGCCACACAAACCATGTTGGGACCCATTTTTTGTAAGAACTAAATTAATATCAGATTCTGCCAATTAAAGGGCTCTAAAACAATTCATATGTAAATATTTTGCATATTTAATGCAAAATCTAATTTTTCTGCTTTAGTGCTGCAACAAGGTTTTATTAATAATAAATTATTATACCTTTTGTTTTACTACAGCATCGGTAAGCTTCCTGTGCACAGATGATTAAGGATGCTTGTTTCAGCTGTGAGATTAGACGATAGGATCAATGAAAAAATAAGTTGTCACACACTCCATGGAAACTTTCAGAGAATCCACAAATAGTGGCTTTCAAATGGTTTTGTTACTTTTTGCAAGTTTTTAAAAGAAGCAGATGAGACAGCATGTCTGATAATTTAGTTTTTTATCTGATAATATTAGAACATGTCAGTAATGTCTGAGGGGCTTTTATAAACACCATATAACTAACACTACTGGAGAGGGCATGAATTACACAGAGGCTTCTGGGGAGCCCAGTTATGGGGGGGGGGGCATTTTGCCTTGGCCCCCAAAATGTCTTGAAACGGCCCTGGGTGTGTGACTGAGTTTTGAAGGTGATCTGAATTGTATCAGATGTATAAATATGACATGTGTATAACTTATTGTTTTTTACTGGTAAAAACGTGTAGTGGAGATAAATCTACCTACATTTTACTTTTCAACACTTTGTTTTGTTTTCTTGTTTTTATTGAACTATTTTCCTGTCCTGTCTGTCTCTCATCTTCCTGCATCTCCTCTTAATTCTCCAGAAAATCTGTTGCCTGGATTCTTACCTTTTCACCTCATCAGTTACTTTTGAGCAGATCAAAGGGATCTCCTGACCGAAAAGCGCAGAGCGCGTTTTCGATGCTGCGTGAGGTGACATCACCACAGCACAGGTGATGAGCTCCGCAGTAGCGAGCTTCAGGCACAAATAAGACAGAAAATAGAGAACATGTGCGGACATGAACGATCGTGTGCTAATTATAGTTTTTTGGTTGCGCCACTTTGAGAATGGACCGTGCGCTGGAAGCAGCTGCCTGGATCGCTGCGCGACAATGCAGAACCGGTTCCCAGCAGCGCAAGTCTGTCGGCTCTCCCTCACGCTGATCTGCGGCTCTCCCTCACGCTGATCTGCGGCTCTCCCTCGCGTTGATCTGACTTGCTCTGGTCTGCGCGCAACGGCGGGCGGGAAGGGGGGGGGGCGCTTATTGAAGAGTTGTGCGACACAACGAATCGATGACGCAATTCGTTGCCAACGCTTTTAGTAATCGATTTTCATCGAATTTATCGATTCGTTGTTGCAGCCCTAGTTGGGACACGTTTGAGGTCATGTGGAAGCTGATTCCATCTGTGTGCAGCATATTAGCTAAAACCAGCTTCACCCTGTGTGGTTCTGACCCGGTTCTACCAGCTGACTGTTTCCTAAGGATCTCAGAGCCCTGCTGGGCGTGGATACCTGAAGGAGATCTGACATGTATTCTGGCCCCATGCCATTTATAAACTAGTAGAAGTACTTCAAAACTGATTCAGTAGTTCACTGGAAACCAGGGTAGAGAGTTAAGAACAGGAGTGATGTGCTCGGTTCTCTTGGTGCTTGTTAAGACTCCAGCAGCAGCGTTCTGAATAAGCTGCAGTTGCTTCACTGCCTTTTTGGAAAGACCGGTCTGAAGACCATTGCAGTAGTCCAGCCTGCTGGAGATGAATGCATGAACGAGTTTCTCATTGCAGTAGTCCAGCCTGCTGGAGATGAACGCATGAATGAGTTTCTCATTGCAGTAGTCCAGCCTGCTGGAGATGAACGCATGAATGAGTTTCTCATTGCAATAGTCCAGCCTGCTGTTGATGAACGCATGAATGAGTTTCTCATTGCAGTAGTCCAGCCTGCTGGAGATGAACGCATGAATGAGTTTCTCATTGCAATAGTCCAGCCTGCTGTTGATGAACGCATGAATGAGTTTCTCATTGCAGTAGTCCAGCCTGCTGGAGATGAACGCATGAATGAGTTTCTCATTGCAGTAGTCCAGCCTGCTATAGATGAACGCATGAACGAGTTTCTCATTGCAATAGTCCAGCCTGCTGTTGATGAACGCATGAACGAGTTTCACATTGCAGTAGTCCAGCCTGCTGGAGATGAACGCATGAACGAGTTTCTCATTGCAATAGTCCAGCCTGCTGTTGATGAACGCATGAACGAGTTTCACATTGCAGTAGTCCAGCCTGCTGGAGATGAACGCATGAACGAGTTTCACATTGCAGTAGTCCAGCCTGCTGTTGATGAATGCATGAATGAGTTTCTCATTGCAGTAGTCCAGCCTGCTGTTGATGAATGCATGAATGAGTTTCTCATTGCAGTAGCCCAGCCTGCTGGAGATGAACGCATGAACGAGTTTCACATTGCAGTAGTCCAGCCTGCTGGAGATGAATGCATGAACGAGTTTCTCATTGCAGTAGTCCAGCCTGCTGGAGATGAACGCATGAACGAGTTTCTCATTGCAGTAGTCCAGCCTGCTGGAGATGAACGCATGAACGAGTTTCACATTGCAGTAGTCCAGCCTGCTGGAGATGAACGCATGAACGAGTTTCTCATTGCAGTAGTCCAGCCTGCTGGAGATGAACGCATGAACGAGTTTCTCATTGCAATAGTCCAGCCTGCTGTTGATGAACGCATGAATGGGTTTCTCATTGCAGTAGTCCAGCCTGCTGGAGATGAATGCATGAACGAGTTTCACATTGCAGTAGTCCAGCCTGCTGGAGATGAACGCATGAACGAGTTTCTCATTGCAATAGTCCAGCCTGCTGTTGATGAACGCATGAACGAGTTTCACATTGCAGTAGTCCAGCCTGCTGGAGATGAACGCATGAACGAGTTTCACATTGCAGTAGTCCAGCCTGCTGTTGATGAATGCATGAATGAGTTTCTCATTGCAGTAGTCCAGCCTGCTGTTGATGAATGCATGAATGAGTTTCTCATTGCAGTAGCCCAGCCTGCTGGAGATGAACGCATGAACGAGTTTCACATTGCAGTAGTCCAGCCTGCTGGAGATGAATGCATGAACGAGTTTCTCATTGCAGTAGTCCAGCCTGCTGGAGATGAACGCATGAACGAGTTTCTCATTGCAGTAGTCCAGCCTGCTGGAGATGAACGCATGAACGAGTTTCACATTGCAGTAGTCCAGCCTGCTGGAGATGAACGCATGAACGAGTTTCTCATTGCAGTAGTCCAGCCTGCTGGAGATGAACGCATGAACGAGTTTCTCATTGCAATAGTCCAGCCTGCTGTTGATGAACGCATGAACGAGTTTCACATTGCAGTAGTCCAGCCTGCTGTTGATGAATGCATGAATGAGTTTCTCATTGCAGTAGTCCAGCCTGCTGTTGATGAATGCATGAATGAGTTTCTCATTGCAGTAGCCCTGCCTGCTGGAGATGAACGCATGAACGAGTTTCACATTGCAGTAGTCCAGCCTGCTGGAGATGAATGCATGAACGAGTTTCTCATTGCAGTAGTCCAGCCTGCTGGAGATGAACGCATGAATGAGTTTCTCATTGCAGTAGTCCAGCCTGCTGGAGATGAACGCATGAATGAGTTTCTCATTGCAATAGTCCAGCCTGCTGTTGATGAACGCATGAACGAGTTTCACATTGCAGTAGCCCAGCCTGCTGGAGATGAACACATGAATGAGTTTCTCATTGCAGTAGCCCAGCCTGCTGGAGATGAACACATGAATGAGTTTCTCATTGCAGTAGCCCAGCCTGCTGGAGATGAACACATGAATGAGTTTCTCTAGGTCCTGCGTGGACATGAGACCTGTGAGTCGTGCTGTTTGATGCAGATGATGGAGCGCTGATCCGGTTCTAGCCTTAATGTGAGCGGTGGAGCTCAGGTCTGAATCATTTATGACTCCAAGATTTCTAACCTGGTCTTTGTCTTCATTCCTCTGGAGCCGAGCCGAGCAGCAGCCTCCATCCTGTCCTCCTGACCTCCTAAGACAAGAACTTCCCTCTTGTCTTTTTAACTGGAGGAAGTTTGACTGCGTCCGGTCCTTAACGTGCTCTAACACTGGCCTGGTCACCAGGTGGTGGAGCTAGGTAGATGTGGGTGTCATCTGCATAGTTATGATGTTGTTTATGTCCTGACGCAGGGGGAGCATGTAGAAGAATGGAGCCACAGATACAACTGGAGTAGCATTAAATGCAAAATGACAAACATAAAAATATAATAAAGATATAAATAAAGAAGCACAGATGCATAATTAACTTCATTAAAACCATCCAGACATGAAAATACAAGTGAAACGGGTTTGCTAAAGCTCTCAAATAAGACACACAGCATTTACAGGAAGCGTGAAGCTACTGAGCGATGCCAGCGCCATCAGCACCTGAGATTAAAATGCATCCTATAACAGCCGTTAGACGAAAAGAGGAATAAAAAAGTAATTATTATGCAAAACGGATCAAATACGCTCAATCTTTTGCCACATGCGCGGTCGGGAGGTGTTCATCATCAGCATGTGGGAAGCCGACCCTAGAGGCAGTGCTCAGATGGATCAGGAATGTCAGGAGCAAGCTTTGGTGCTTTTGTGTGATGCGTTTCCATAGAAACGTAAGGGTCAGGGCTCACACCTGATTTTCATTCACATCATGATTGTATTGCAGACACCAGCTCCAGTGCCCAGGCCAGTATTCTCCCCTGGAGGCCTTCTACGAGGATAAGAAAGCCGTTCTGCCCCCTACAGGAACCGGTTTGGTCACATCATGCCCCACCTGGACCGTTGCTTCCATAAACCGCTGCATGCATCCTGAGATGAAGGTCTGCCAACACCACACATCCCTGAAGATGCTTTCGTCGCGGGTTTCATTAAACGGCGTCTCGCGTTCCTCTCTGCAGATCACCCACCCGGCCGGCTGCATGTCCCAGTTCATCCAGTTCTTCGGGGAGCAAATAATGGTGCTGTGGAAGTTTGTGCTGCTTCGGAAACGTATTGTCATCTTCTCGCCCCCGCCCATAGGTGTGGTCTGCTACAGAGGTGAGCAGCTCGAGCCTCCACTCGCTCCTCGACGTTGGTTTGGATTTTGGCCGTTTGAGCGTCTGTTTCTGTTTCTTCTCCAGTGTACTGCTGCTGTTGCCTGGCCAACGTCTCTATTCCAGGAATCGGAGTGTCTGTGCCCGAGCTGAGACCTTTCTTTTACGTCAACATCGCTGACATCAGTGCCCTGGAAACAGAGCTGTGTTACGTGGCTTGTGAGTGAAGCTTCACTGCACAGTAAAGGCTTCCAGGCTGCAGCTTGCTCTGTGGGGATGATTCTGACTTGTACATGAATCGTTTGAAGGCACCACAGAGAAGATCTTTGAAGACAAGAAGGAGCTGTACGACGTCTACATCGACAACCAGAACGTGAAGTCTCACCGAAGCCACCTGCAGCCGCTGCTCAGGCTGAATGCAGCAGATAAGGAGAAGTACAGGAAACTGAGTGAACAGAGGTACATTAACACATTCATTAGAGCGTCACATTCATGTGTTAACTGCAGTTCAACACACTTCTGATGGATAAACGTTGATATTAATCTTCAGTCTTGCACTAGCAGGTTCTTGTAACCTTAATCTAAAGTTTAATCCCGAGTCCCGTCCAGCCCCTCCTCTGAACTTGAGACAGTTCTCCACACCTTCATCTCCTCACGCTTAGACTACTGTAACTCTCTTTTCACGTGTCTGAGCAGAACCTCCCTGAACCGTCTACAGGTGGTTCAGAAGGCCTGTGCTCGGCTTCTGACCAAGTCCTCCAAACACACCCACATCACCCCGCTTCTCCTCCAGCTTCACTGGCTGCCAGTCAACTTCAGGGTTCATTTCAAGATCCTGGTTCTGGTCTATAGGGCCTTACATGGACCAGCACCATCTTACATTGGTGATCTTCTTAGTCCCTACACCCCCAGCAGGTCCCTGAGGTCCAGTGATCAAAGCCTACTGGTTGTGCAGCACCAGGCTAAAGGTCAAAGGTGACAGATCATCTGCTGCTGTGGCCCCCAGACTCTGGACCTCTCTCCCCCTGAGCCTGAGATCAGTGGACTCAGTGGTCTCCTTTAAAAAGCAGCTGAAGACTCACTTGTTCAAGCTGGCTTTTGTATGACCTTCTTCACCTCTCTCTCTTTATTCTGCTCTCCCCACCTATTCCACCTTCCTCAGGATCCACTGATTTCCCTCTTTCTACTCTTTTTTTTCTTTCATTACATGTTTTAAGTGCAATTTTTAAAACGTTTTCCTCATTTAAAATATATATTTTTAATAATTAAAAACAATTTTTTAATATTTTAAGTGTTTTGTTTTTGTGAAGCGCCTCATGATCGCTGTAGAAAAGATGGTTTTCTTTCTATTTAAAACAACCACCAGAACCTTCTAGAAGTTCCATAGACCCGATATGAAAGCCCGCTCGCTCCTTCCAGACTGTTGCACCCCTCTTCGGACTGATCTTCATCCTCACGCAGCACCCACCGTCCAAAAACAGCTGAAGACCCTTTTATTTAACGCTGCTTTTATATGAATCTGTTGTTTTCTTATTTTTAACTCAGATTTTCAATCTTCCATTTGTTTTATGATATTTTATAATTTGATGACTTTATGTTTGTTTGGTTAGGATCTACGTGATTGTGTGAGAAGTGCTGCATGAATAAAACTACTGAAGATCACGTGTGCTCTGAAACCCTAACCCATAAGTTCAGCGTGAGAACCAGCTGACATCTGCTTCTTTTACTACGTTTCTCCAAAAGGGGAGGAACTGAAACGGGTCTGCAGCGCCGTTTGCTGCAGGAGTCTGCTTAGTTTGGTTTACAGAGCGGGATGAATAAAGCGTAGATCTGAACACGGCTCTGTTCTCTCCCAGGCAAATGCTGCTGTACTCTCAGGAGGTGGAGCCAGACTGCACATCGAATGAGGAGGACCTGTTCATTCTGTGAGTCCTTGACATGTTTTATGTGAATCATCGACCTCAACCGAAGCAAAAAACCAGAGAAAGACGTTTTCATTTGCTTGTTTTCTGCTGTTTGAATGTAAAGTGTGACTCTGGTCTTCAGGTTCTTCATGGAGATGAATAATCGGATCTTTCAGACCCTCTCGGAGGTGGCCGGGAGTGCTGAGCCCACCCTCACAGCGGACCACGTGAGGGCCATGGGGCTGGATCCTCAGGGGGACCGCTCCTTCCTGCTGGACCTGTTGGACGTGTACGGTATCGATGTCGGACTCGTCATAGACAACCTCTGCTGTTCGTGAACCATCCCAACTGTGGGAAAACTTGGATTCCAGTGGATTCTTTGAGCCCATGAGGCCCACAAATGCCTAAAACACTGCCTCCATCGTGCAACTGCATCTGTTGTCTGCTCTTCTCTGACTCGTGGCGTCCCGGTGTCTCTGACTCGTGGAGTCCCGGTGTCTGCTCTCGGACGATCCTGCTGGGAAGTTGGGAGATCTTGTTCTTTTCCAAGTCTGATGTCCTCTGCTGTTTGCGTTTCCGTCTCTTTGTGTGGATTCTGATTGAAATCCCGTCAGGATGATTTAGTTCCTCATTGCACTTGTCTCGACACGGACGCCACCGACACGCCACAGTCCTGCAGCTCCAGTGTTCACCACTTCAGCTGAAGAAAGGAATGTGATCTGGAAAAGTTTCTACTACTGGGAATTTCTATCTGTGCTTGGAATATCGGGAAAATCACAGGCGCTCAGACTCTGGATGTTTCTTGTTCTGGTGAATCTACTTCCTGAAGCTTCTTTATTTTCCTCTCAGGAAGGAAGCAGTGGGAATGGTGGAAGTGTTCCGAGTTTGTGATGAGAGGAAATGACCTCACGCTGGAATTAGGGAAGAAAAGCAGCTGTTTTCTTTACGCTTGAAGCGCTGAGAGGTGGGTGTTCTCTGGACATGAATGAACATTTTGTTTTTTCCGTTTTTATGGTCGGTCGACATTTCAGTGGGAATTCTGCACCGTGCATCACTGTTCCTCCGTGCACACCGTCATGCTTAACTGTAAAACGGGAAGAACGGCGACTGCCTGATGGAGCGGTTTGTACCTGACCAAGAAAAAACCCGATCGCTCTGCTTTTCCTGGACAAACGTGTTTTTGTTGATGATGGCTGAGAAGAAGCTTTAACTCTCAGCAGAAAGGACCGTTTCTGTTCCACCGGTCCTTTCAGGGCGACCCGTTGGGCCGGGCCAGCTGTGACCTCCTGGATGCTGCTGGCTGAGTTCGGCGGCTGCTCATCACATCAGTCATGGAAATAATTTGTTCCATGTTGGAACACACAAGGCCGATTATCAGCTTAGCCAAAATCTGCTGATCTCAACCTTTCTGTGGTCCCAGACGGAGATCCAAACATCCTTTTGAATGACTTCATAGTATTTCTGTCATTGTTGTAATCAAATACGCCGTTGTGGGGTTCATCATCAGACTATTATTATTATTGAATACATGACCAGATCTGTTTTGGTGTCAGACGTTAAGAATAAAATGCACTAAGTCCTGTAGTGACAGAAAGAGGCGCTAAGCTTTATTTTTTAATATGGGGCCTTAAAAATGTGACGTTTTCAAGTTTCTAGCAAAATAACTGATTTTATTTCTGTTTGTATTTTCACGTATGCACTTGTGAAAACGGTGAACTGTAATCCCTCAGCAGATGTTTGCGTCTAAAGTAAAAACTAGAGGAATGTACACACACACGCCTGCACACAACGCCTTCTGGGTGGGAGTCTTCACCGAGGTGCACCAGCGTCGGCTAAAATAACTGCTGAATGTCCTGTTTCACACACGCAGCAACGCATCTGAGATCTCAGATGAATCCTCACCTCTAATGTGAAAACCTGTGAGACGTCAGCTATGTACACACAACTCAACAGCATGAGCAAATGTCCGTTTGTAAAACAATAAAACACTGATCCTGTTTCGTGTGCTTTTATCCCGCTCTGTACAACCCTGCTTCCTGCCGCTGTTTATCCTCTTCTGCAGTGTTGCAGCGCAGGAACGCCGCCTTTTCTCCAGGATGGGAAGGCCGATCCAAACGAGCAGAATAATCCTTGTTTCAACATGTTTTTCATTCTACCAGATGACGTTTTTACAGACACAGTTGCTGAAATCAGACGTCAACAGCATTTACACCAGATTTACTTTAACTACAAAATAAACACTCAGAGGTTTATACCACCCTGCTCCAAGAGCGGGGAGTCTGCCGCTGTTGCACGCCAGAGACCTGCTCTCCCTCGGTCCGTCAGAATAAAACTTCAGAACCACGACTGTTAAGGGGACATTTAGAAAGAATTAATGCTTAATTTTTGAGAAATGCCTACAGAATTAGGACCACTGAAAAAAGCCTTTTTTTCTCAGAAATCTGAAAATAACACAAAAATGTTAGAAAAAAAAAAGAGAACACAGATATTTTCCCTCTTCCATAGATATCTACTGTAATAGGTTAGTCGTCATGTTAGAAAAACAATTTTGTTTCCGTTCGGTTTTAAAATCAAGACAAACTAAAATTTTGCATAAAGAAATATTTTTTCAACAGGATGTTGATGTTTGAAAAATTGCATAAAAACAATTAAATGTAAAAACATCACTGGAACTTTGAATCATTCTGTTGAGCAGATTCAAAACTGTATGAAAAGCCTGAAGAGCTGCTAAAAGCTGCATTAAAAATAGTTATTTAGGATCGTCCAAAGGGCCACATGTGGCTCCAGCTCCACAGGCTGCAGACCCCTTAAAGCAGCTCAACCCTTCAGATGGACACCATCGAACCCTATTTGCTGTTTCTCCTGTGACCTACATCTAAACCAGAACACGTTACATTCAGACAAAACAAACCAGGCTTCATTTAACAGGACTGAGCACCTTGTATTTGTTCAGTTAGCATCAGAAACGGGTCATAAACACAAAAAAGCCTTGGTCCTTCCATATGAGACATCCTATAATATCATCATCATCATCACCTTTATTTATAAAAGCACCTTACAGACATATATCATGTCACCAAGGTGCTGCACAAGACTAAACTAAAGAGATAAAAACAAAGAATATACAGGAACCCAATAAAAAAAATCAAAAACAGCAAAATACAAAACAGTTAACACCCAGATTTAAAAGCCAGATGGGTCTTCAGCGCCTTCTTAAAAACCTCTACTGACGTGGAGAGTCGCACAGATCAGAAGATCATTCCATAATTTTGGGCCCGCTACCGAAAAAGCCCCATCTCCTCTTGGGCTTGCTGATTGGCTGATTGGCTGCACCTGGCGGTAAGGCGTTTCCTGTTTCCAGTGTTGCACTCATATACCGTAAATCCTCTAATACAGGCCTGTATTCAATTAACAGCCGGGTCTCATATTTTGGCCGGTGTCTGAGTCGGCGGAGGTGAATAATGGCCAGGTGGACTGTGGTAACAAGCAAGTACGGGGGGCGGTTGTGTCATCCGTCTCACTTTTGATTAGCCAGTGATAGACCGCGAGGGTAACTTTAACCGTGCGGAGACGAAGAGGAGGCGAAAATTTGATATCAAGTTCAAAGAGAACGTGCTGATTATGCTGCAGAACACTCTGGGGAGCAGTAGCAGGGGTTGTATGAACTAGTCGACTTCACTATAGTGACTTGTTATGCCTGTCATCGACTAGTCGCTGTCACGTGATAATGACCGGCAAGATGCAGCCCTCGGAAAAGACAGCAGCCTGCTGTCAGCAGGTGACAAGCTCCTGCACTCGGGGGGGGGTGCAACGCGCTGTGCCAGAGCGTCGGTACTGACACGCGATCGTTCATGCCGGCTCATTTCCTTTAATGTTTTCTGTCTTTTATTTGCACCTGATGCGTTTCGCTGTGGAGCGGGGCGCATCACCTGTTTTGTCCTCAGTGACGCACCGATCACTGATGCGGCCGGCGAGCACTCCACTGTTTTAGCGGTCGGTAGATCTTTTAGAACTGCAGTTCAAAGGTAACTCATGAGGTGAATATATATGAACCCAGGTAGCAGTTTCTCTTTAGGACTGAGAGGAGATGCAGGAAGATAATAAACAGGCAGGACAGAAAAATAGTCAAATAAAAACAAGTTAGTTTTTGTACCTGGTGGTTGTAACAAACAGACACCATTGAAGGTAATCAGAAGTGAGGAACAGAAAATGAAATAATTATTTTAATTTTTAGAGCAGCAGGAACTCTGAGAGGCTGCAGGCGCATCAGTGAGTTTGCGGCCGCTGCGCAGGGGGAGGGGGGAGAGGGCTGAAGCAGGGGGAGGGGGGAGGGGGGAGAGGGCTGAAGCAGGGGGAGGGGGGAGGGGGGAGAGGGCTGAAGCAGGAACTACCGTTGTTAAAAGAAATGTGTTTAACTTTGAAAATGTGGGCGCAATTTTAATTGTCAAAAACTCCATCGAACCATTAGTTCATTTTGCTCAAATAGAAACTGAGGACTGCCTCTAATACTGGCCCTCCTTCCAATAAAGGCCTGGAGCTTGATGAGCTTGAGTCAAATAGAGACCCGGGCCTGTATTAGAGGATTTACGGTATATGTCGATGGTTGCACTACGTGTAGCTGTTTGGTGTTTGGGGCTCGCTAAAACCGATTAATTTCTCTGTAGTAGGATATCTCTGAGTTATTGTAGCACAAAAGCACGCTAAAACACACATTTCTGTTGTTCCACCTAGCTTTTAGGGAACCATTTGAGTTTGCACGCAGTTTATTTGGTGTTGAACAGTTTGCTCGTGCAGTTAGCTTAGCCTCAGCGTGGCTATGGCTACTTCTGTCTCTGCTTCTCCGTCTCCTATCTCTTGCTCTCTGTGCCAGATGTTTAGTTACTCCTCTGCCTCCTTTAGTGATAATGGTACGTGTAATAAATGTAGCATTTTTGTAGCTTTGGAGGCGAGGGTGTCAGAATTGGAGTCCCGGCTCCGCGCTGTTGAAAAACCTGTAAACAGCCGTAGCTACTTAGCTAGCGCGGGGCTAACTAGCTCAGAACCACCCCGTAGCGATCCTCCAGCAGAACCCGAGCAGCCGGGACCTCAGGCCGGCTGGGTGACGGTACGCAGGAAGCATAGAACCCTGCCCGTGGGCCACCACCAACCCGTCCACGTTTCTAATAGGTTTTCCCCGCTCAGTGACGCACCCACTGACAAGCCGACTCTGATCATTGGCAGCTCCATAGTCAGAAACGTGGCATTAGAGACTCCAGCAACCATAGTTAAATGTTTACCTGGGGCCAGAGCGGGCGACATTAAGTCTTATCTGAAACTGCTGGCTAAGGATAAGTGTAAATACAGTAAGATTGTTATTCACGCTAGCGGTAACGACACCCGGTTACGCCAATCGGAGGTCACTAAAATTAATGTTGCTTCGATGTGTAAGTTTGCCAAAACAATGTGGGACTCTGTAATTTTCTCTGGCCCCCTGCCTGATCGGACCAGTGACGACATGTTTAGCCGCATGCTGTCCTTCAACCGCTGGCTGTCTAGGTGGTGTCCTGAAAACAACGTGGGCTACATTGATAATTGGAAAACTTTTTGGGGAAAACCTGGTCTGATGCGGCGAGACGGCATCCATCCCTCTTTGGATGGAGCAGCTCTTCTTTCTAGGAATATGGCCAGTTTTATTAGTCCTCCATGACAACCCAGGGTCCAGACCAGGAAGCAGAGTTGTAGTTTAACCACCCCTCTGCAGCTTCTCTACTGTTACCCACCCACTACCCCATAGAGACAGTGTCCTGCCCACGGCCAAAACCACACAGATTAAATATCAGGCTTAATAAAGCAAATCATGGAAATCTCATAAATATTAAAACAAATTCAACTGAGCAGGAAACTAGAAAAATTAAATGTGGGTTGTTGAACATTAGATCCATTTTTCTAAGACTTTGTTAGTTAATGAGTTGATTTGTGATAATCAGATCTCTTTGCTCTCTCTCACAGAATCCTGGCTGCAGCAAGAGGACTATGTTAGCTTAAACGAGTCGACTCCTTCAAATTATTTAAATCATCATATTGCTCGAAGTACAGGGCGAGGAGGAGGAGTAGCAACCATTTTTCATTCAGAATTAATCAGTCCCTTACCAATTAATGGCTACAGTTCGTTCGAACATCTTATTCTTAGTTTTCCTAATCCAGATAGCAAAACTGTAAAACCACTCTTGTTTGTAGTTTTATATCGTCCACCAGGCCCTTACTCTGAGTTTTTGGATCAGATCTCTGATTTTTTTATCTGATTTGGTGCTAAATACTGATAAGGTTACTGTAGTGGGGGAATTCAACATTCATGTGGACATTGAAAATGATAGCCTCAATGTAGCCTTTAGTAATATCTTAGACTCAGCTGGTTTTACTCAAAGAATACATAGCTCCACCCACTCCTGCCATCATACATTGGACCTTGTGCTGACTTATGGCATAGAGTGTGAGGAAATAACGATCTTTCCACATAAGCCAGTCCTCTCAGACCACTTTCTGATAACCTTTGAGTTTTTTATAACTGAGTTCTTGAGACATGAAAGTAAATTTCACTATAGTCGGTCTCTATCTGACAACGTAGTTGCGTCTTTTAAATCTACTGTTCCATCTTTACTGTCCTCAGCATCTCAGAGGCATGTAGCAGAGGGCAATATTTTCAGTTCTAGCCCCTCACAAGTTGATGCCTTAGTTCATCATGTTAATTCCTCTTTACGTGTGGCATTAGATGATGCTGCCCCTTTAAAAAAGAAGGTAATTAGGGACAGGAAGTTGGCTCCCTGGTTTAATTCTCATCTACGAGCCTTAAAACAAAACTCTAGGAAATTGGAGAGAACACGGCGCTCTACGCACCATGAGGAGGCCTACCTATCCTGGAAAAATAGTCTTGTGCTTTATAAAAATAAGCTTCGCAAACTAGAACTGCTTATTTTTCAGCACTAATTGAGGAGAATAAGCATAATCCTAAATTTCTTTT